TTTTTTTTTTTTTTTTTTTTTTTTTTTTTTTTTTTTTTTTTTTTTTTCAAGTATACTATTTTGAGAGTAAAACGTACAAAGTTTTTTTGCTCTATCTAAAAAAATTTTGATAAATATTTTTGTGAAAACAATCAAATTTCTCGAAAAAAAATTTTTTTCTCGCGTTTTTTCAACATAAAAAAATTTTTTAAATTATTGGATTATCAAGAGGAAGTCATAAATTAATTCCAGTTCAAGGTTTGAGTCGATACATAAAAAAAAAACGCAAATGGAAACTGTTGTGGGGTCCATTAGACCCCGTGTGACCACTACGTTATTTTTAGGAGGTGTGACCACAACGGGTTAAATTCTTGGCACCGAACTCCGCCGCTATACATTTAAAACGCCATAACTTTAAAAATAAATAGTTCTAAGGCGTATCTGCGAGCATGTGTATGAATCGTAAAATATGATAATTATTGTTGCGTAATTAAACATGTAGTAATAATTTAAATAAGTAATTTAATATGTGTAACTTTTCGTACGTAAAAGAAATGAGAAGAAAGATTCAACATACGTACAATTCATATTCCGCAATTTATGAAACAATTTACATTTTAATCATGTACATTTTACATTTGTAATATATCTTTGTATGTACATTTTAAAATATTTATTTTGCATCTTTTAATTTTAATTTCTTTATCAAAACAATGTATGCCATGTAGTGTACACGTTTTTTTCATATGAGTATAATTTTGATTTTTTTTAAATTCTATAATACAGTACATAACACGAGGTAGTGCGAGGCTTGGTCTATACAAAATAAAATCTTCAATAAATAACTGAAAAAGTTTACTATTCGGCTCTGAGGTTTCAGAAAACCTCAGAGCCTTTTCTGTATTATTGCATTTTACAAAATACTAACAATAATTATTCATCCTAACGCGTGAACTGGCCTGTTTTGTCATATTACATAGACTTTAGTGATATGACAGTTTACTTGTACATTTGCTTCTGTTGATATTAACGAGCACCTTAAGCCAAGGAAAATCCCAACACATCCTCCAACGAGTAGTCAAACAGCCTTAAATCTAATTTGTACAGATCTGCCAGCTTGCGAAGCTGCTTGTAGCTTAGAGTAGAGTAATATCTATCCAGTTTTCTTGACGTTGGCTCGCTGCTTGAAGGTCTAGCTGGAAAACTGCATAATTATATTTAACAAGGTGTTTCGCGAATATATCTACAGAGAATTCTAGATGTCTATAAACGGAAAGAACAATTTTGCTGAAGTGTCTAAAAATTTAGCCAGATACAGATCTGAAAATTATTTTGTTGCAACATCAAAATAATTATGTAGAACACTCAAACTGATTGCTAAAATGTCAAAATTTTTTACGGCATATCATCATACTTTAGCGACCTACTATAATAATTTTTATGGTACAACAAAATTATATTTTCAGATCTGTATCTAGCTAAATTTTTAGGAAAACAGTTCTTTTCGTGTATTAAAATTGTCATCTTGTTATTGCAAATATCGTCACAAGTGCATTGTACTTACTTCACGGATGTGACACCTATCCGTTCGAGAACTTCCGTGGCGTCTTCGACCAAACTCTCGTACTTGCTTACGAGATTGTAATTAACTATGCACGGTTGGCAAAGATCGTATATCGGTCTCCAATGTTCATTCCGAGTTCCATTCTCGGTGTCGTCGGTGATGAAATCGACGAATTCGTGAAACGTCACGTCGTCGCCATTCCTCAAAGACTCCTCGGTCGCGTTCGGTCTGTATTTCTGCAAAAATGTCGCGTAGTTAAAGTCTCGCTACTTGTGTGGCTTGGTTTTTTTTCAACGTTGAGCTATTCATCTCGATTTGCATACGGAACTTATCGTTAACGGTTAACGCGATAAAAGTGGGACAGAATTATATAATCGTAATCATATTCCGAGAAGTGCTCAATTATACGGTACTTTTAAATTTGATGCAATTTTACTGAAAAGAAACAAGAATTTAAGTCTATTAATGCCTAAGTAAATAAATATTCTCTTTCTATATAGACGCGCATGGCTCATCCATATAACTAAACTGACTCGATAGAAAGAAGAAGCATCAAAACAGCCGTTTATTGACATTCTGCCTGCTTTGCTTTGAACTATCATATCTAAGATGAGATCATTGCGCGAGGTCATAAATTAATCCGTAAATATATTGCGTGATGAATCAAATACGCGATCAAAATTAAAATTAAAGAATCACAAAGCAATACGTGTAGTATAGAACTATATATTTGCATTGTACTATATTTAGAAAGACACGTTCCTCACCTTGACGATTTTTTTGCCGAAGCGAGTCTGGAAATATTTCGCACTTTTCTCATGTTTGGTCTCCAATTTATTCCGATAGGCCGATAAAAGCCTCTCCAGAGGATGTCGCACGACGATTAGCTTGTCGTACGTCGCCAATTTCTTCTCTATCTCGGGCAGAGTGTAATTGTTCAATCGCTGAAAAGTGCCGGGGGAATGAGCTTGATCGGCCGGTATTTCTAAAGGATCGTTACCGGGCCATTTTCCGGTCGCGATCATTAATACGCGCTTCCAATTTGTGCAAGCCACCTGAAAGATGAAAGAACGCTTAGAACGTGCAACGCAAAAATTTATTCTTTACACGTTATTCTAGATCATCTCGATGAAAAGACGACGAGTTTTTTATACCTTTGGTACATAACAATAGAGCAATTCATGCAAATCATCCACGAGGATATTTCTGAATGATTCTGGATTTAACGCGTCAATATCAACCTCGCTACTTTCAAGCTCGCAATTATATTGCAGTCTTTCCTGTCTCTCGACCAAGGCCGACCTGGCCAACGCGTTTGGCCCTGTCCAGGAATAAATATATTTGTTCGGCTCGAACGGTTTCTTGTTTTCGTCATTTGAATAGATTTGCTCGACGTTCGTGTTTGCGTTCGCGGTCGTTTTCCATATAACAACGAGTAAAATTATCCTCCACGCTCGACATCCTGTCATCGTTTTCCTTTATCCACCGCGAGCATTAGGCTCTCTTGCAAGGTACAGTCTGTAAAAACTCTGAATCTGCAAAAAAAGAACGGTGCACTTTTTTTACGGAGTTCTCCATTCCAATGGAACACCATTGCAAAATCGTAATAATAATTCTGTATACTAAACGCAATATTCTCTTGTGCTACTTTCGATTAGACAGACATATAAATCGTATACGACAATAAACCAGTTATAAGTAGATTATTATCGATTTATTATACACGACAGGCGTGTGTGAAATAATATCGATAAAAAACTTTGCACCGTAAAACGACACGATAACTCGGAATATATTAATGGCATAAGAATTAAAAAAATTTACATAAAATTTACAGATATATAGTTATTTATATATGTACAATAATTTAAAAAAAACGTGAATTATTTATTTTCTCTCTAAACCTGAATCAGTGAATAGTACTTAACTGCTGACTATTCACTGATTCAGATTTAGAAAGTTTGTTTACTAAAAAAATTAGGAAAGATTCTCAATTCCGGCTTTACAAAATTGCGGACAGAATTAGTAAACACATAAAAATGATATGCTAATCGTTAGCTATAAGTGGGTGGCTGCGGCGATTTGAATTGCAAACATAAAAAAAAATTTAACTTATTTAAAATAAGAAATCAAGAAATATTAACGAGAATCGACGTTTAATTCTTAATAACAATCTTCTCTAGCCGGCTTCAATCAGTTTTTACACAGTTGATAAGATACGTTACAAAGTAGCACAATTATTATTACATATCTACGATCGAAGTCGAGCAAATTCTTTTCGTTTTTAACTAATTATTTATATAATCAAGGCCATTAAGGTATTTGCATCGCAAAATATCGATTCTTTTTTTCTTATTTTTTTACAACTTTTGTTCATTCTTTTGTATCTCTTTTTATTACTTACTAGTCGCATTTTCTTTTCTTTGATACAGACAATAGGACAATAAACCGCGATGTAACTTTCTAGGTCAATGTTACGGTCGTAGCACAAGTGCAATGCAGACAATGTCTCCTTTTTTACGCGTGCTTATATTTATCAAATAATGCATAGTATAAAAATGCAAGATTCTCAATTTTCAAAATGACTGATGATAATTTTTATCTTTTTCAGGTACTTTCTGGTATAAATCTGTAGTTTCTTGTTACAAACATTCTGGCAAAAAAATAAATAGATTTTTTAATGAAAATTGTTAATTTTATAAAAATGTACTTCTAAGAATAAAGTCGCAAAAATTATTTTAATAATAATCATTATTGGATTGAACATCCGATAAAGTCTTCACATTTTTGTAAAATACAAACAACTGTGTGTGTGTGTGTGTGTGTGTGTGTGTGTGTGAAATCCGAAAATAGCAAAGTAGTATTGTATCGTCTGTAAGACGTAACAAGCGCAACTAAACGCATCCTGAAAATATTAGAGGGTAACCGCTGCTGTTTGATATAGATATCTCCGAAGTATGTGTCAAACACGTGCTCATAATGTCACATTCCACTCAGGTATGGCGGAATCGAATGTGGAAATGGAGAACAACCGGCAAAAAAAAAATCGATTTAATGAAATATGAAAAAGTGATGACGCAAAAACCAGCATTGCATTCCACCGCAAGTTGTCCTGATTCAAAAGTATTCCAAGGAATACTTAGCTACTCCAAAATTCTATGCATCGCGTACCACATATCATACGACAAGAATTTTAATTGAAATCCCGCTGACAGCGTCGTGTCCCCACATATTAATGATACATTTAACCCAAATCAATCACGCAAAGTCATATTAGAGATCCGTAATTGTCAATAAATATTCGAATCGTCAACGAGAGTGACGTGTTCCATTTATCATCACTGTTAGTCAGCGAAATTCGCTGTAATGACACGTGAAGTTTCTTCGATATCACAGTCAGTTCGTTGTGACGAGATCACTTCGACCGAGCGGTGATTAATCGCGATCGATCCGCATAGCCACTCCTTCGTAATTATTCAATCCTACAATTATTTATGCTTACGTTTTTGACCACGAATTATAAGTAGCTCGCGAAAGGATTAAACGCGAAAAATCCGATGTCTCCGCAATAGTCGCGACTTACTTCGTGATCCGATTAGACAGGTAAGGCGTGTTCAGAATCGGAGCAATTAACGTGCTCCGCAATTCCGCAAATCCCACGGAGCGCGCGCGGTCAAGCGCACCGACGTTCTCCCCAGAGCTTCATGAAGACCTTGGCCTCCCAAGGGCGCGTTATCGGCGCGCCCGATAAATTGTCCGATCGTCTCGCGGCTCGAAAAATCTCTCTTCGGGACCACAAAGTCCAACACACTTCCGTTTCACTTTTCCCGATACTTCGTGCGGGATGCACGGCGAACTGGCCGCGCGCGCGACAACGTGAAACTCATCGACGGATACCGCGCACCGTAAGGAGAACACGGAGTGGTCAAGCAGCCGATCGACGTAACAGCCGGCGATCGCGTTAGGTCGCCTGGAAGAGACTCTCAGGAACGAAACACCGATGTGTCGGTGTGTGAAGTGAAAGAGACGGGCTGCGCGCGCCACCGCTCTTTCGTTCTCGTTCCCTTTTCGGTCGTCCCAGATCGGTCCATCCTCCTCCGACTCGGCGGGTTCGTATCCACGGATTTCCCCACTTTCGGGCTTAACCCGCTCGTGTGCGTATATTCGTAGAAACCAAAGATCACGTGATGTAAAATCAAATCACCCAATGCATAATTGATGAGCTCGCACGAGCGAGCTGATGGGCCGCCGCCTGTCCTCGCGGCGAACCACGAAAAAAAAAACCTATGACCGATGTCCGATCTCAATCTTAATAAGCAAACGGAATTCAACGTAAGTACGCCTTAAAATTTATCCAAGTGGAACGAGATAAATTGGAGACCGTGATCTCTTTGATCTTTGAGCTGTGAACACGTTACAGCTGAATCGAATGTTTCGCGTTGTTTTACGTGTTTATTCATATTTCGCACTTTTCCTGATCGTCGCCGACAGTTTCATCTCATTGCATAGTTTACATACTTCACTTTCACTTTTATGTCACATACGTGATTTTCTTAAAATGGTTCTCTTCTCGACGAAATGACCACATGCGCTATGACGTAATTTTTTCGTTACGTAACTTACACGAAATTCTCTGTGCCATAAATCCTTTTTCCTTTTATGTTGCAATAGTTACTGATTTATCTATTTTATTTCTGATAAAAATATCAAAAACTGCTATATATGGTGTTCAAAAATTGCGGATGATTCGCTTAATAGTTGATTAAAATTTTTGTCCAATTTGAAGTTCATTTTTCCTTCCAAAAACATCAAAGCACATTAATAATGCTTTTATTATTAGCGATTTAAACAAATAAATTGCACTTTTTGAGAACTAAAAATTAAAATCAATTTTCTAAATAATCTCAGATGGAGTTTACCTTACTAGAATTTTAATTTAAAATTTAATTATTGTTTAGTAATAAATTAGTCATTTCCTTAACATCTAAAAAGAAATCGAGTCTAAATTGATAAAAGAATCTATCATTAAAATGAATTTTTATTTTGAAACATTGAAATCTGTATATATATTACATTGACTTAACTTTGTTTATTTTAAACTAATTTAACTAATCTAAGAAGTTTAAAAACAAAGCTTTGAAATTTTTATATTTCCATTATATGAAATAAATTAGTATCTACATATTCATGAAAAATTGAAATCTTTTAGTTTTTCAATTTCATAGACTTTTGTAAATCTTATCGACATAAATAAGTTTTACAGCTTTTATATATTATTAATTACAAAATACAGTTGGTTCCCGCTGAGTGAATTGTAGGTCGGGAAATGCGGTCATCAGCTATGCTATGTAAGAGTGACCTTTTTAAAGGAAGATTATATCAAGTTACAATCAGGGTCAACGAGTTTTATCATAGGTTAGCAACATGTTCACATACGCAATCACAGATAAATGTCGGATAGATAAAATTGCTCCCGATTCGCGTTGTGTTTAACAAACTTCAATACGAGTAAAATTAGTCACAAAATCAGCTCGTATAGCGATGTAACGCAGAAATGTATTCTATATAAAACAATTAAATGGTTTAACAAGCGAATAAGTTAGAAAAGTGAGAAATTATAAGATATATCAAGAAAAAGAATGTAATCAGAAAAACCGGTCTCTTTTCAACAAATCTTATGTCAAATCTTACACTAATAAAAAAATGTTTTAAATTTTAGTAAATATTAGTTTGCATACGACTGTAACTCCATTTATTAAAATAAAAAAATTTTCCTTTTTATTAGCATATTTTTTCTCAGTGAATACACATATACTAATAAAAAGGAAAATTTTCTTTATTTTAGTAAATGGAGTCACAGTGGTATATGCAAACTAATATTTACTAAAATCCAGAACATTTTTTTCTCAGTATACATATAGGTACGTATATATATCTGAGAATTTATTTCTTATAATCTCGTAACTGTCTTGTTAAAGGCATTTATATGCTGATGTTTTCTGAAATGTTATCTTCTATGTGATTTTTCACATATCATCAGTGAATCGAACATCCGCGACATAACTTTTACTGCAGCGGAGATACAGACAACGTTAAATACTTGATAATCGCGACCTCTAACTCGGTGGAATAACACTTACAATAGCATTTGCGCAATAAGAGTTGAAATTATTCGTTTGACCTGAAAATACAAAAAAAAATTGTATATAAAGCCACGGGAATTTCAGCAAAAGGAGAAAGTATCATGACTTCTCGACTTGGCCTTCAGTACAATCACCGGAGCGAGATGACGTTTAGTCTTGCTTCGGCTTTCGTTCTTAGAACATCTCTCTACTGCGCCGGCAATCAAAAACGCGCACAAAATAAAAGTGAGAGTGGATATTAGAGATAAGAGAGGAAACACAGTTTTGGTAAGACACAAGAAGAAGCAACTGATAAGCACTTTTGTTGCGTTACCGAAATATCTGTCACGATTAAGCAATACACTTTCACGTGTTGAAGCCTTGAGATTCCCGCAAATGTTTTCTCAAATTGTGACATCGTATTGACGTGAAAACTTTGAAGTTTCCAAAAGTTTACGCACGATCACAAAAACTTCCAGAAATATTATTTAAAATTAAATAAAGTTTTAATTCAGTATATTTCCCCCTTCTATCACAGAAATAATTATAAAATGATAAACAAATAATTATAAACAAACATCTCTTGCCTGACAAGAATACGTCAAAATTTTTTGTAATAAAAATAAGAAAGTTATTTTCTGTGATTTTTATCTGTAATAACTGAAATATTCTTCTAATTTGTAGGTAACGATAGAACATTACGCACGAAATAACGAGAGAAAATGCTATTAACAATAGCATTTTGGATGTTAGTCATTTTAATTACTTTTTGGATTCTCCTTGGTCCTGTCACAAGATTTCTGCGTGTGCTATGGGAAATTATTATGCAAATATACAATAAGAAAACAATCGATTTGCGAACAAAGTTCGGTGAATGGGCGAGTAAGCATGAAAAAATTATGTCTTTTAAACTTTGATTGTATTTAATTTATAAGTATTATTGAAATTATTAACAACCTCCTGATCCTTAATATAATATTTTATCTTATCACTTTAGACATTTTCTACGAGATGAAAGAAAGGCAAAAAAAAATCTCTCAAAAAGTACATAGAAATTGTTATCTCACAAAACTACATAGAAATTTTTATTAATTATATTATATAAGTAAGTTATGTAAAAAGATGCTTACATATCACATATTCTAGTTGTCACTGGCTCGACTGACGGTATCGGTAAAGCTTACGCCAAAGAATTAGCAGTAAGAAATATGAATTTAATACTAATTAGCAGAAACTTAGAAAAGCTTGAACGCACAAAGGACGAGATACTGCTAATAAATCCAAAAATTGAGGTGAAAGTTATCGCGGCAGATTTCGCCGAAGGAGAAAATGCTTTCACCAAAATCCATCCCCTGTTGCAAGATATATCCGTCGGCATATTAGGTAATTAAACTTATTTATTTATTTACTGTAATAAATTAGTGGCTGCAATCCCATAATCCTTGCATGGCAAAAAAAAGTAGAAATTACTAATGTTCAATATTTGAGCTGTTTTTCTTTTCAAATGATATATAAGTCGATTTTTGAAAAAAATGAGTTACTTTTACAAATTTTAGTCCTTTTTATTTTCAAGTTCAATACTTTACAATATTCTGATAAATTAGTCAATAGAAATTTGACTAAATTTTATTGGTCATTTTAATGTGGCCAGTACGAGTTTGAAAGTGCGGTTGTGCACGCGACTAGTCAAACCTTATAGTACAAATAATTATACTTGATTGTGATGTCCAAACCGGTTCTATTGAAATCCTCTTCAGTTAGTGACGTGTGGTGGACTGGCATAAATATTTTTTTTGAAAGTGTGAAATAAGTTTATTATTTTTAACAATTTCTTTTAAACTGTACATGGCCTTGAACAAAATTTGAGCAAATTGTCAGCAGAAATACTCAAGTGTGTAAGCGGTTTTAAGTTATATTATTCAACTGAATTAAAGATACTATGTAATTAGTAAAACTATGTTGTATGTTATAAATAATAGCTCAATATTTCTCAAAAATTACTAACTATATGATATTTAAAATACTATTGTATCAAATAAATATAATTTGACATTAATATATTATTATTATTATTATTATTTTAAAATTACATTTAAGAATAGTTTACTTCAATTAAAATCTGATTATAAATTTGATATAAATCTGTATAAGTCCATTTTTGACAATTCTAACTTAGACCTTAGGCAATGCTTATAAAAATGGTTACATAATAAAATTGCACATGTCTAGTTTCTCAAAAACAAAACAAGCTCATTAACGTTTAATAATATTTTTAAACAGGGTAAGATACAAAACATTAAATATGTCGAAACAAAAAAGAGCAAAATAAAAGTGGACTTGTATTTTTAAAAGATGCTTATATATATGAAATAAATATCATAATTATTACTTAAGAAATAGAGAAGAGTCAAAGATTAAGAAAATGATTATATATGTAATCTCTATCTCAATTTACTTCTGTGAATGTTTGATAAATCTATGAATGATCAATGCAATCTCTGTTATTTTTACATGCATGCTTTATTTCATAAAAAAATAATCTTTAATTTAAAAATAAAATGAGCAAGATCTCGAGTTTCTCACCATCAGATTTCTCTCTAAAAATAAATATAATAATGTTCTGTCGCAATGCCAGGACAAACGGGTTTATCGAGCTAAAAATATGCTATTATATATTAATATGTACTTGCTTCTTAATGTCGCAATCTTTCAATGTCCCCCTCCCCTCATTTTATTACTCGATGGGCAGAGGTCATTCTCCCGTGGAATAAAGAGTATAGATAATATGCAACACGATAATATACAAGTCAAGGGTACATAAATTAAGACATGAATTATAATTTATAGTATCTTCACATATAAAAAATAATTGAATGATGCTTCTGCGTGCAGTATAAACAGCCATCTAACAGTAACATTACATCAAAATTATAATTTCCTATTCAACAATGTAACTGTTATGTACAACATGTGTCATATTGCACTTACATTGAGTGGAAAATTATAATATTGACGTACTGTTACTGTTAGTTGGTGTTTATCGGTTGGATACAATATGTAAAACGGTATATTAAACATTTTTTGTTTTAAATTTAAGTGAACAACGTGGGTAAGCAATACGAGTATCCCATGTACGTCGGAGAGGTGCCCGAGAAGGAACTGTGGGACATTATCAACGTAAATGTGGGCGCCACCACGTTAATGACGCGGCTGGTTATCGGGCAGATGCAGAAACGCAAACAAGGCGCGATTGTAAACGTCTCCTCCGGCTCTGAGTTTCAGCCGCTGCCGTTGATGACGGTATACGCCGCTACGAAGGCGTACGTGAAGAGCTTCTCCGATGCTCTCAGAGCGGAATACTCCAGATTCGGTATAACCATTCAGCACCTGTCGCCTCTTTTCGTCAACACGAAAATGAACGCGTTTAGCTCTAGACTACAGGTATTGAAACCATTGTTGAAATAATATTATTTTAAATGACACAGTTCTATTAAATTATTGAAGCAGTTAGAATTTTTGAGCTCTTAAAGCTCGTTTTTAACGAATCAATTTTATAGTTAATATAGTCAAACACGTTAATTTTATAGTGCTGTATTTTTAGACAGCACGCATGTCTAAAAAAAGTCATAAAGACATCTTTAAGATATGCACGTGTTGTTTGGATTATATTCTGGTTAATCTTGCGGTTTTTTGCGATTTTTGAAAAAATTTTTATGTACATAAATTTGATCGAAAACCGCAGGTTTCAAGTATATTTGTACCTGATGCCACGACTTATGCAAGAAATGCCATTGCCACGCTGGGCAAAATGGACAGCAGTACTGGTTACTGGGCACACAGTATTCAAAAGTTCGTCACTTTAATGCCGCCCGTATGGATTAGAACAAAAATCGGACAAATCATGAACGAGAGCTTCAGGCAAGAATATTTCAAGGAAAAGCAACAAAAGGCATAGCAATAAGATATTTTACGTAACTAACTTTTTTTTCAAAATATATAATGTAATTGTATCGTACTGATGTAAAAACTAAGCAATTTTTAATTATTACAAATAATACTCTTCAAATGAAATAAAGATAAGGGAGATACAGCGAGAGAGAGAGAGAGAGAGAGAGAGAGAATATATGGAGAGCGAGAAAGAGAGAATATATGCGCGCGCGTGTATGCAAGAAATAAAGAAAGAATATAAACTTTTTTTTATGTCCTTTAATATTGTTTAACAAAATTTCAATTCTCATTTCTTCTACAACCAATTTTCTCTGTTCTGAGATCGAGACCGAACATTTCCTCCGTTCTAATATCTTCCTATCCTTAAATCGTACTCTTATTCTGTAATAATATGATTGTGCAAGTTTAAATCGCAGCGCACATGCAATTTTGATACAAAACTGATTAGTTTGTAGCTTAATACGTTTTTATAAGGTGTCTTACGTATGCGATATTAAAAATCACACAACGATAATGTAATTTAAATTATTGTATGCTATTTGCTTACATTTCTTTTTTTTTACAATCAGTAATTCACAATGTCATCCTAATTGTAGGCTTCACAGCCGAATGCTGTGCGATGAGGTAAAACGTTATTTATATCCTCCACTCGAGTAATACGTGCAAATCGATCAGCATTGTAATATAAAGTTGACCTGATTGCCTCGCGTATTATTCAATTAGAATCTGTAAGTGGATATAATAATTCCACGACCACTCCTCGACTATAAATTGTGCCCTCTGAGGAAAAAAATAAAGTTACATAATCTCATTCACTACTCCTCGCCAAACCGAACAATCGAACGGTCCGCGTTCGACGCACTGGAGAGGGGAAGGTCCCGGTAAGTTTGTTTATACCACAAGTGATATATATATGTATATATATACACACGAACCAATCAGTGTACCGAAATATGATGACCTGCACACTGATTGGTTTACTATACTACTCGGTTGTAATATAAACAAGTCGTCCAATCGGACGGACGTATATAAGATAAAAGTTAGAACAAGGTGGGTTACACATATTTTAATATTTTTCATATCTACAATTATAATTTAAATTTAATTAAATATTTTAATATTTAATATTTTTTAAATTTTAATCCCAAAATAATTTCTTTTATATTTATAAGTACCTATAAATTCTTCTGATAATTTTACGAGTTTTCGATAGAATATTCGATAAAATGTAAATTCTATAAACTCCCACTATTTCTTGTTTAATTATATTTTCTGATATCTATAACGCATATAACACGCAGCAAAACATTTTGTGTGATAAAAAAGAACGTAGTAAGCCCATCGACTTTCTTTTACAGATATATATTTTTTTCTGAAAATGCAGAGCACTCCCAATGAACACAATGTTCCAATTGTTCCAAATCGGGGACATAAGACGTCTTAAAGATGTCATTAAGACGTGTGTCTTCAAATGGCTGCGCTAGTTTAGAGTTTTATATCTTTTTTTCCTTCTAATGTGGAGTAAAAAAAGATAAACTCTGATCGAACTAGTGCAGCCAGTTCAGCAATAGAAAATAAACCCCCAAGCCGCCATTAAGATGTCTTCAAGACGTTAAATTATAAGACATCTTGAAGACGTCTTATGTCCTGATTTGGAACATGCGCATTGGGCTTCGATTTTTTCCGACTTTTTGTGTACATACATTGACGAGATTTAATTCGGTTCCTCCTCTGCAATCGCTAATTTAACAATAATAAATGGTTTAATTGCCGAAATACAATATACGCTGAAAGCGATGATAATGAGGAGAAAGCGAATTGAATTTCGTCAGCGCACGTATCTTCGGTATCATCACTCGTTGCGCAAGCCCGTGGACAAGCGTGCGCGTTCCAAAACTCATCCGAAAATGGTGTTCGGATTGTTCCACAGTGCCATTGGCGTGGATATTACGTAGCGTACATACGTATCGCGCCGATGTTTTTCACAAATCGTGTATCGAGACAAGATATATACATATACGTTTATCGCGATACAGGCGCCTTGTACCCGGAATTTCTTAACCCGAATCACCTCTGGCATTCCCGAGTTAACGCTCGGGCATGGCCAATCGCGCGGGAAAGCGATCGAGCGAGAGGTCACCGACATGTGGAGGGGAATGGGTCACGTGATCGATCGAAACTCCGACTGATCCGGAGCGGAAGCCGACGGCGCCGACGCGTTCGGCGTTGCTGAATTCTCCCATTCCCCATCCATGAAGCTCACGAGGAAGACGTTTGGATTATCTCTACGCTCCAGAATACGGGCAAGATGAGTCTGTAGTTTAACGAAGAACTTGCACACGCAAGTGTGCCAACGCCCCTTAAGTAATCATGCCGTAAGTAACAGAATTTCACTTGTCTCGTGGGTTATTTCGCGTCGCGCGTCCGGATCTGAAACACGCGTGCCGCAACGGAGGCCGTTTGGCCATCTTGTGAGTCATCATGGACGCGAATTGGTGTCATTTGTGGAGACCGCGATGGAGACATGGCCGTTCCGTTTGCCTACGTCGCGAGACATTTCGTCGTCCGATCGCGCATCGCGTTGATTATATGCGACGCAAATATCGCGATTCGTGCACATTGCCCGATCTGAACCCGCCGAGAGATCTTGCCAAACGATAGCCTCGCATTGCGTCATGATGCATCATACATTGATACGTAACTGTTTTTCGGTTCCCCAGTATCTGCGCGAAAGAAAAGTCATCTTCCGCCAAGATAAGCGGGAAATAATCATTGATTTCCGGCCCGAGACTTGACATCTGCGTCGTTATCCATTTTTCGGATGTAAATAATTTACAGAATTTGTGAGAAATGTATTAATTATATTAAAAATATATAGAAAATTTATGGTATTTTTTATTATGGCTGAAGAAGACTCGGTGTAGTACCAAATACCAATTTATTTTTGTATATATCTATTAAAATAATAATACATTGATTAAGTTAATTGTTAAACTATTGTTGCTCGTTTATTGGTCTTTGTCATTTATAGTAGAAAATTTATGTTCTCTTTAACAGAGAAGAACTGCGATTAATTTCCATTATTTAAGTATTACGTATCGTTTACTTGCTGCAACAATGTCATAACTCGAGAAACAAAGTTTTCCAGAAAATAAGTTTGAATGTTTTGAATTAAGAAAGAAGTCAACGCTCTGATTATGAGCTAAGCTATGTAAGAAGGTCAACGGTCAAAATACGAGCAAAATAAGGATATTGATTTCAAAATAAAATCTAATTTATTTACAACTGTACTTATGTCTTTCTACCAATGCAGATTTAACTTTAATCTCGATTTAACTTACTTTTATCTTTTTTTAGAAGTAGAAAAAAATAAAAAGTAAGTTAAATGGAGATTAAAATTAACTCTCCGTCTATATACGTGAGTCTACGGCGTCAATCAAAATGATATCTGTTCGTAATTATAAAACCTGCTAAAAAATATTAAATAAACTATGTTTATCAAAATTATTACAAAATCGTCAACTACAATGTAGACACATGTTTCATGATATTTTTCAGATTTTTTAAAATATTTTAAGATATAGGAAAAAATAGCGTTGAACGTAACAGACCCACGTATACACTCCGAGGGTGCAAAAAACGTACACACAGATGGAAGATTAATCTGCATTGGGAGAAATGGACATTGGTCTTCTTTAGCAACAATAATTCAACATGAAAAAAGAATAAGAAAGTCCAGATTAAAAATTAATAAAGAGGAAGAGAACATATAAAAGTTAACATACGACGAATAACGCAACATCGTTTTGATTCATTGACTCAATATATTTGTGATCACTCTAATTTATTCTTATGATATTCAATATTTCTATTTTATACGCTCTAACAATGGATTTGACCTCTGCCATATTTCTTATCAAACAGACCAGCGTTGTATTGTCGCGATTTTTATTCTGTTATATGAATTTAATCATGGTGATACTTTGTAATTAGCTTATATGTTCTCTTTCTCTTTATTAACTTTTCATCTTGACTTTCTCATTCTTTTTTTATATGAAATTGTTGCTGAAGAAGACTAGATACAGTCGAAACATTCAATTGTTTTTAATATACTATTGTAAATAAATTAGATTTTATTTTAAATTACCATCCTTATTTTGCTTGTATTTTGACTGTTGACTTTATATAGATTTGAATATTTTGAGTTATTAAATATTTGTATAATATTTTTAAATACGATTTTGGAGTAATAACTGATTGTAAAAGAATAAAAATATCTAATTATATATTAGCTCTTTATTCCGTGTATTAAATTCTCACCATTCTTTTACAAACAACTCAAAAAATAGTATATTGTACATACATACAACTAGTGGAAAAAGTGGTCGATTCTGAATGAGTGTGACGACCACTCTTCCCACGAGTTGTTCATACTATTTTTCCTAACAAGAGCGTGAAACAGGCCGCTTTTCGCGCTTGTTTTACAATTTCATTTCTCCACTAGTTGAGAAATGGCTCCATGTTTCAACGCTTACGTCATCATTGCGAAATAGATCGTTTTGTTCACTCAAAACAAGTGCGAAAAGCGGCCCATTTCACGCTCGCGTTAGGAAAAATAATTTTTTAGTTATGTTTTTGTTGTAGCAAAGGTAGCAAATGAACGATATACACATATCTTTGAAAAAAAGTGAAAGGAGAAAGTAAATTCATCAATTTAATTATTTACATATTGTAATGAAAATCATGGAAAATATCGGAAAATTGGAGTAATTAGAAATTAAAAAGAAATTAAAAATCAGTCATTTCGACTGCTTTTTGGTAGTTCTAGTTTGGCGTTAAAAACATCTACTTAATAGGCATAAACATAAACAAACAGGGGAAATGTTTATTTTTTTCTTTCTTATTAATATTTTTTTATAATTAACATGGAAATTATTCTTTATTTTTCAGTGCCAATATGGCGCTCGCCGCGAGCTACGTCGCTAACCCGACACAAATTTCTTTTCATCATTCTTTAATATCCCTCGGTTGGATTTGCATCGAAGATATCATCGAATCGGAATCAAGATCAGGAGATGTCGCATTTGTGGAAGGACGAGCCGGTGTCCCCCAGTGGGTCACCGTCGCTAGATGTTTATGATGTTGAGGATTGGCCTTTATATGAGTCTGTAGATTTCTCTAACAATGCTGCGGAAATTGTTATGTACGATGACAATTTCTCCCGTGCACAAAGGGCAACAAAATGTCTAGAAGTATTGGACGAATGGATCAAAGACGAATATATCAAAGAAGGTAAAATATCTTGTTAAATTAATTTTAACTTACTTTTGTTTGACGGCATTCATATCAGTGAAAAATACTCATATCATATATAATGTTAAATCAGCGACGTAAATCGGTGATAATTAATATTCAATGATATTGTATCTCATGTTAAACAAAAACTGGAGAGATCTTATAATTTTCAGTATCTTCAAATGCACAATATGTATAGTAGGCGTCATTAATGCCTTCCACCTGAAGCATAGTACATGTAACGTCCACTATAGAAATCCCAAGAACACAGCTAGGCATTAATGACGCCTATACATACATATGTAATGTTTTGTTATTCTAGAACATGATTAACATACAAGAACACAATTTTAAAAATCTTGCATGAATAGCCTTATCTCCTTAAGCTCTTATCTAAGAACAGTAAAAGTCAAGTCAGAATTATAAATCAGAATATATGAAGCAGAAGCAGTAATTGTACATATGAAGATAAATAGAAAATTATATATCATAAATATTAATTTTCTTTTTCTTTTCTTTATAATGTAAACAACGTGCATATCGCAATATGAGTTAACAAAATACAAAAATCCATTTGAAAACGTAACTTCTAATCTTAGGTCATTTTGATTTTTGACCTGATTTTATAAATAAGATTTATATATATAATATAATTCAGTAAATCACTGATATGACTCGAGTATTTCTACTAAATGTCATTACTAAATTAGATGACGAATGCTATGCTTTAATAAATTTGGAGTTTATTTTTCTTGAGCAAGGAAAATTGCTATTTGAAAAAATGGCGATATTTTTGTAGTAACTTTAATTTTCAATGTAATGTTTCTGTAATTAAAAATTGCATGAGACTACTGTGACTACTGTGAAAACTTGCTCGAATTTAATCTCCAATTTAATTAGAGAGAGAATTTGTCATTAAAATTAACATATCGAAAATATGAAACTCAGTGTGTCAAAGATATTCATCCTAGTTTGTTGTCAAGGCTCTGGAAGATGCCGTCGAAACTTGTTGCTCAATATTCTGAAACATTAATGAGCCAGATTTACATTCTTGACAAATTATTATTTTTTTCTTTTTGCTTTTGTTATCACATACAGACATTGATACGGTTATTTGTTGTGTGACGAATAGCCCGTGCTATTGACAAATGTCGATCGGCTTACTGAAATAATTAATCAAAAGGAAATAAAATGTGTCAAATTTATCCAGTAATTTTTTTAGAAATCGGCGACATTTATCATAATGTCCAATGATTCTAACGTCACAAGAGATAATTACTTATACATATAATTACTATAATTGATTAGTTACGTGACTACATTTCAAGATGGATTATATCTGCATGAGCTTTAATATAACTTTCGCGCACCACTTGCTTCCGGGGGAAAAAAAAGGCTTATGTCTGGCGTCAAGTCGCAGAGATCCTCATGTTTATGTAATTACTAATTACATATCGCACAATTTTCACACATTACAACGCATCTGGGCGGTGAGAAATCTCAATCGCCATATTATCGCTTTACCGCATATTAAACGACACCGTTATTAATAGGCGGATTTAAACAGAGACGGTCGCGCGTCATAGACCTCGGCAGGGATAACGCAGCGTTCTCGATATTCCAAAGCGAGATGCAAAAGACTTCTTTATGCTTTCGAGCGATACTTCGCAATATCCGCGCGCGCAGATATAATCGAGCGGCAGACCATGGTAAAGGACACAAGACTCGCGTGAATGCGCATTAAAGAATCGCCTACTTTTCACATTTTTCCCTACTGCGTAAAAAAAAAATGTGAAAACTGGTATTTTCGTTCGATTTCGTATCCCGACTATCGCTTTCATTCTCTCTCGCTGGCACCGCTCGGCACATGCGTCTCTCTTTTTCTCCCTCGCTCGCTCCTTGTCACTCCAGCGCGCTCCTCTCCTTTTTTTTCTGCAAAAGAGAGTGGGACAAACTGGTTAACCTCTACGCGAATGGCTCCAGCTTGTGGGACGATAGGGGGGTGACGGCGGTGTCAGCGCGGCGCGATTGAAAGAGGAGGGAGTAGGGGCGACGGAGGGGAAAGTCCAAAGATAAGCAGGAGTGGTTTCTCGGCAGTATACAGGCCACCGAAGTCCAATTTGCACGATCGCGGTTCGCTCGAGCCATCGCGCTGCATCAGTATTTAATTACTCGCCGTCTACGGAGTCCGCGACATCTCGTCTTTTATCAGTGTCTTCCTATCGCGGTATCGCGCTCCATCTCTGACACCTCGATTGTTGTGCGCGCTTATCTATCACGTGGAAACGCCTGTTTCCCGCTTCTGGGATCTCCGTCGGTTTCCCGCGCGAACACGGAAAATTCCGCGTGTCCGTTCCACGCGGAGCGGAACGCGCAGTTCAGTATTCTCGAGTTCTTCGTACTATCGAGCAAAGAAGCGGAGCTAAAGAAGCGGAGCACGCGGTTCCCGTGAAATTGCGCACCGGACGGTAACATTGGACACTCGCCAACACCGAGAACACGTGGTCGCGCATCGACTACCACGTGTCGTGTTTCAGAAAGATCGAGATTCTCGGAATCTTTACAATACAGAGACGACAGAGTACCACGTGAGTTCACGGACCACGTCGAGCATCACGGTCCGGAGTAAGCGTGGGACGAGTTGTCGCGAAACATCTGCGAGGCATTTGTGGAAGCCGGCGAGAGACGCATCAGCAGGAGGCCACGCGTTTGAACGGATATTTGTCTGTGCATGGGCACGACCGTACAAGTAGTGACCTGAAGAGAACGGTGGCGCGGCGCCGGTAGCCCCTATACGAGACTGGCATCATTAAAGTTGATCCGTGAAAACGACCGGTCGTCTCGATGGTGGAGTGTACTAATGTTATATAATAGCATGCAGTTCGCATATCGGTACACGTGGAATCGAGAGATCATCGTCAACTCCCAGAAGCTCGTGAAAAGACGCTGAATATCGGCCGTGCCCGTCGCGATTACACGTGGGAGGATCGCAACGTTCTTCTCGACGTCCACGTACGAGCCGCGGCAGCGCGCTACGTCGTCGGCGTTACCGAAGAAACGAACGTATTGGGATTATCGGCCCTTACCAACCAGCTACATTAGATACAAACTCCCACCTGATCTCTCTCCCGTCCCTTTAACAAGGAAAACACACCAGACCGCGCGCAATTACCATGGCTGCCTTATGTTACAGCGGTAGGTTTCCTTCTCCCCCTTTCGTTCGCTTCCCCTCCATCCAGACGGGTTGCTCCAAGAGTCGAGGCATAATATAGAATTTATTATCTGGGCGGGGGAGCAGAGGGGACAGAAATGTTATCTGGTCACATTGTAAATGTAGACATAACGATCTCTTGGTTCTGTGTTAGTTGTATGGTTACTATTACAGCTGCTGGCATGACGTACTTCGCGTTCTTTATAACGCGAAATAATATCGAAACGCTCGCCAATTAAAAGGCATACCTCTGTAAGCCTGTTACTTTCCCCACGTAAAATTTCGTTCTACAAATGCTACTCGATCGCTTTAAACAGCATTTGCAATGTTTAACGTATTGCAGCTGTCCGCTTTTGAATAGGTTTTCTTTATTCATCAGAAAATCAATCCGTCAAATTGTGCGCTTTTAGTCAGAAATTAAAATGAGCAATTCGTTTGTATACAACGTACTTTGATCCTTCCCACGTTAGGTGAATTTCACTTTTAAGGTGTCTATTAAAAAAAATCAGAGCATTCTGTGAAAAACCAGAAAATGTTTTAAAAATTGTTTCTTTAAGGATCTCGCCTTTATTTTCTTTATAGATATGGATAGTATATGTTTTTATGTGCAGTGCTTCAGAAAGAAGAAGTCTGTTGTATCGGAGATGAAATTCTTTGACGCACTCTTAACTTTTTTCTCCACGATTATATTAGAGTCTCTCTAATAAGAGTCGCGACATCTTGAGTTCTGGCAAAATTCTGCGAGAGAGAAGGATATAAGAGAGAAAGAGAAAGTGATATACTAGCGATATACATTCATATCGCTTTTTCTTTCTCTTTTATATCTCTTTCTGTTTTTCGTGCTTTTGCCAAGAAATGCGAACCAATCAAAAGTTACTGCTCTGTGTCGCGACTCTTATTAGAGGGACTCTAGATTATATGAACTAATTAAAAAGCCCACATATATTATATATATTATATATATATATAATAAACGAGTTTATTTTAGATTTGTATCTAAGGATTTTTTTGAAAACGAACGAATTTAAAAAATTTTTCCAAGATTTCACCCTCGCACTTATTTTTGCATATAAGCTACACGTATATAAGCCACACTGGAGTCTGGACGACTCCAGTATCATAAGTTTCGAAAAATCAACGTATTGTAATTTTTTTTTCTTTTTTTTTAATCGATCGTAAATTTTCTAAGAATTATGATGTTAATCTCAGAATTTTTTTGTCAAAAAAAAATTATTATCAAAAAATACTCATTAAAAAATATAAATGATAATTCCAAATAGTTTCAAAATTTCATTGGGGTTCCTGAGATCCCGGTGTGGCTTTCGAGGGTTAAGTAAACAACATCCCGATGTTGTTCGTCATCGAAACGTATCTCGCGCACTTCCCATTAGCGCTCGGCGACAGATGAAACTCCAGACTTGCGGCCCAGCAGAGTTTGAAGTGAAAATAAAAGATAAAACGCGAAATCGCATACTCCATAATGTAAACAACAGGCATACGCGAATATCAGGAGAATTCTCAGCAATATATTTGGCGCACATAAGTATTAAGTGTCGCTTAGAAATTTATAATCTATTCACATCGATCTCGATATCACTATTTGTACTTTTAACACGTTATCAAGTCAATTATCCCGTTCGTTACGGAACATTTTTGTAAAACTATATTACTGATTATGAGATAGATATACCGTTGAAAAAAAATCAGTCTTATCTCTAGGATACTTGATAGATATCAATCCATTTCCTTAAGAGAAACAGAAGAGTATAAAAACTATAACAATAACCTCAACGTATGTACAAAAACTTTTAAGAAAACAGATATGCGAGTGTTAAAATAATATCATATTTAAAAGCGCTGTTACACGTGCGCGTACATACATTTTTAGAGATACCAATTTAACTGCACTCGCGTATCTCTGTTTTCCTGAAAGTTCTTTGTGCATTTCTAGCATTTAACGTCATCCGAATACAGTGGTCTTATCTAACCTTCTGCCCCCTGTATTTAAATGAAGATAACATCCACTAGCTACTGCTGATCAAAGTTTCATAAAATAGGTCACGGCTGTCGTAGAGAGTGCGAAAATTATTCAATTGCAACGTCACGCACTCCCAGGTCCTTGGCCAGCTACATCCCCAGAAAGAGACTGTACTTTCCAGAAAGATAGAGCATTTTAATAACGTTCGTATAAGGTCGAGTTCTGTAAAACCGCCGCATGTGCAGTCATTAATAGCGATTTAAAAAAAAGGACATTTTTTTCAAAAGCGTCACTTTGCATACGGAATAACAAATCGCTGCAACAGCCAAGCGATTGATCTCATTTTAAAATGAGATTGCAAATGAGGAACTTGTTTTCCTAGTTAACGTCCATGAAATTGTATTTAACGCGCCACACCTATTTATTGTTCGCACGCGTTGCAACTGTTAGCTATTGGCTCGGAACATCTCGATCGTTTTAATCGAATTCACGTTAGATATAAAAATATTGCGAGCCGTGTTACTTGGCAGGGGGCACGATTACATAAAACTAATCTCTTTACCCGGGCACCACGAGCGCGTCAGCTGATACCATAGAATGAGGAAGAGAACTCGACTCAAGTCGCATCAATGCCGCTTGATAAAACATAGAAAGATGGATAGCGTAATTTCCAGAACGTAATACGCGGTAAACAGTTCTTAACGTTATGGGAAATAGGGGATCGATCATTCTCTAGACGTGGTTGCATATTTGCCGCCCGTGCCGCGTTTCCCAGAGGCGCGCTAAAGCTATTGCGTCTCACGTTATCCAATAACAATCCACATATACCAGGAAATATAATATCGCCAATGTGATTCATTTGCAAACTAATGAATGCATCACGAGCGTGGCTGGCGCGCGCGAACTGATACGCGATGTCAATTAGAAATAGGACGGGCGCGTTTCGATCTACGGCGCCGTCGATGTCGGTCGCGGCGTATCCCGACTCTGCCCAAAGAATTGCGCGAAATTGCTCGCGCACGCGGACTGCGGAATTCCTCAAGCAAGAGTTTGGACACCATCTGTCATTTTCAGCCTAACTATGAATATGCGTTTTTCAAAAATGTTTTCAAATCAAGTTTAATATCTGCACAGTTTATTGATACAAACATGAATTTAATTCGATAGTTTATATGTACAAATATTATTATTATTATTATTATTATTATTATTATTATTATTATTATTACAAGTAACCTGTAAAATAAATAAATTTCTTTGTAGTTAGCCTGAAACGCATATGATCAATCAAAAATTGTTTAAATGGTGTCCAAACTCTTACTTGAAAAACTCTAGCAGATTGTCGCACGGAGAGCAACATCAAAAGTTTAGGCATACAAACAACTACTGTACTAATCAAGATTTATTGTCCGTTTGCTTGCAGAACACTTTTCTGATTGGCTGGAAGAAAAGATAAATTTGCCGATATATGATAATCTATCCTATTTCGAAAACAACCTAAACAAACTGCCGCAACCAACTGCTCCGTATCCTCTCGCGAAGGTACCACAGCAGCAACAGCAACAACAGCATGACAACACGCAAACCCTCTTGCAGGAGTTCGAAACGGTTTTGACGGACGTCGAGGCTTGCCATCAGATAATTCCGCCAACCAGTTCGACGCTTACTCCTCCGCAATCGCCCTCGCATAAAACGATCAATGTGGACACCCAATTGCTGGTAACCTTGCAGCCCGTGCAACCGTTCGCCGGCAATCAGCCGATATACGATATCGTTCCATCTGAAGAGCCGACGTACGTGAGCGATACACCGCGTCAATGGAACGTCGAAAGCATATCGCTGAATCCTCTCGGGGGGGATGTTGCGAATGAATTGGCGGTAGTGGACGAATACGTTCGCTCGCACACCAAGGATATACCGTCTCCCTCAAGCCCGTGTAGTTCCGGTGGTAGTAGCATCTCGACCGATGACTCCACCGACGATCCCGATTGGAGTTTCGAAACCGAGAGAAAAAGCCTGAAGCAAACGGTTCACGATTCTTCGAAGCTTCGTCATAAACCGTACTCTCGATCGTCTCTCGATGACAAGAAAGTAAGGAAGAAGGAGCAGAATAAGAATGCGGCTACTCGTTACAGGCAGAAGAAGAAACAGGAGGTCAAGGAGATACTGGGCGAAGAGCGCGAACTGGCGGAGCATAACGAAAAGCTGAAAGAGAAATTGAAAAGTCTGCAACAAGAGATAGGATATCTGAAGGGATTTATGAGGGATGTGTTCAAGGCAAAGGGTTTTCTCAAATAATCCATTCGTCCAGGAACCCTCACCGCCGTCAACATAATTGTTAATTTTAGATATTATATCCATTAGTTTTTTTATTTTTAGATGTTTTGTTTTTGCCACTAACTATTTTACAATTGTACTAATATTTTTAATACGGTAATTCACGTTTCACACGTTATCTGTTTGTTCGTAATTTTCTTATTTCTTAACAAGTATTCGTCAATATATATATATATATATATACATATATACGTAATAATGCGTACGCAGCTTTTTAGAGAGAGTCTACAGACAAACAAATCGTACCTACTCGAAAGAGAAGGCGCATGCAAGGATAAAACGCGAGAAAGAAGTCTAAAGTTACACCTACTTTTAGAATAAAATGTACATTAGGGACGACCTAATAATCCACTAGAGAACGGGATCCATCAACCATCTAAGCACGGTGCGTTAGATAACGCATGTAAACTGTCGAGTACGCATATGAAGCTTTAACGAGCGGAAACTTGCTTACTCGTATGCATTCCACCAGTTATCTACCGCACCTCTCACGAATGCGAATCTTTTCATTCCGATTAATTTTTACCCTTTATTGCATATTATACTTTCATACGGCAAATTATGTAGAATATAATAAATGGGTTCAATGAAACAAGTGTACAAATGTTATTTACTCACTAGAGATCTGCTTGCAGGCCGATGACTGTTTTATTCATCCGAAGAGAATTCAGAAAAATTCTATTCATAATTTATCTTATGTGAAAAGCATCCAACACTGTTGGCATGTGTATACATCGATCCTTTATTGTTCTCTAATGAAGAAAATCATTGTCAAGAGAAACTATACAATACAAGAACTGTATGTGTTTGTTGCCAGACGAATCTTAGCTCGCAGATGAATAACTTGGCAGATTAAAATTTGAGATAAAACAACGTCTACTTGAACGATGATGCACCAATATTTTTATTAACAGAGAATCAGATAATTTCCACAGACGAATTTAGAGTCCAAAAATGTGCATTGAGTTTCTCGATGCACAGATTGTTTACATTATTATCACGCTATCTGATAAAACAGGCTTTAACAAGCTTAATTATATGTATACGATATATAGCTCTAGGAGGGGGGAGTGTCATCAGGTGGTCTCGCTCGAAGATCATAATCAGCTTTCTTCCTAACCGACGCCTTTTATTTTCTTATTATCTGTATTATTTATCTCCTTTTAACTACACTTCCTGTATTTCGTATTTTCTGACCCCACTTGAATAATATACTTGTTTAATTTTAATATCATGGTGTAAGAATAACAGTGCGGCTAAAGGGAAATTTCATAATATTTAGATTTATACATTCAAAACGAGCATAAATAATATTTAAATTTATACATTTTCACCTTTTTGCACTGGATTTACACCTGATATGATCTTGCAAGGATTTTTTTTTATTCCCCTTATTGAGACACCCGAGAAAATTTCCTCGTTCTCTCGTCGGCCCTGTACAAACATCGTCGTAGTGGGGCAAAAGTAGAAACGGCAAGAGTTGGGCAGCCTTCCCTCCCTCCTCGATTCCGCTGGCCTGAAACTCCTGGAGAGGCCTGTTAAATTTAACGGGACAATTTTAAGCGCGTTCGTGACATTACCGCCGATACAAAAATGTAACTCGCCTAAAAAGAAAAAGACTAGGGCCGCCAGGGCCGGGGTACGGCAAAAGCGGGAGAAATGTTTTCAGATTACGGCCGCTATATAGCAAACACAGACAGAGCTATCGTCCTTTTTATCAGTTAAAATCTCGCACGCTAGACACGAGTCGCAGAAATAATTTATGCCGCATTTCTTGGTTTTGACGTCATCGATATCGATTGGCCGACCTTGGGCAATTTCTTTCTCTATTTTGTACAAGATGCTGTACACATACATACATCTCATTAATATTTAACGAATTCTTGTTTTGTCTCCTCGCGCGCGCGTGCGAAAGCCGAATTTTCGGAAGCTCCTGCGGGTCGCTGGCAACCAACATTGATAAATCCGAGAGTAGAGAAACGCCCGGACGGAAAAAAAATGTTCAGAGAGACAAACGCAGAACGTATGCAGTAATTACTCCTAGTTCATTGTATCTTTATTTTTTTTTTAACACACGAGTGCACACACACACACACTCAAATGCATAATTATACACACGTAAACGCACGTGTGTATCCCAGATAGTACAGATGATCATTATATGAAATCAAAAAGGATTCGTGAAATCCTTTTTGAGTTCATAACGATCATTTGTGCTATCTGGGATGTCTTCGTCTTCCGTCTTTTTATAATATTTACATGCGATATTAATACAACAAATGAGATATTTCAACAGTTGTGACGTAAAATAATGAAAGTCGGCTACACAGAAAACTTATCAAATAACGCTAAACTGTTCGTATTACTTGCGAGAAATGCAATTTTGTCGAAAATGTAACGTCTTCCCACATCTCTTAAGCGTCCACATTTTACTATATATATATACAAAATACCACATACATTTATTACGTAATCACATATATATATATATTTTTTTTCTGTCGTTTCCTTGATATTCGTTTATTATTTGCGACGAGAAAACCTGTTTTCTTTTCTCTTGGAGATAACATATAACTATTGTCCAAAGTTGATTATTTATTCCGTGACCTTCACAATAATCTAAATTTCATTTATAATAGGTGATTATCATGAATGTAATTAACACGTTTCGGTGCGAATTTACTTCATCGCGGATCCCGAGCTCCTGGAAGTGTTAACTCTCTGTAGAGTCTCGCAATCACATGGCACATATTAATTTATAGATTCTTAATGTCAAACGTTAACTGCACAGCTCACACATCGATCGATAACGATAACGTGTTAAATACATATTTAACAACAACATTCTCTCGATTTCAATGATAAAATGCATGATCGTATGATATAGATCTTTTTATGTAATATAGTTAATTTTACGCACTATGCTTTTATACTCATTTCTAAATTAATGTACATGTAATATACATGCGATTAAATCACCAAAGTAAACGTGAAAGCACCCACAAATTAAGATAACAAGAATAGAATATTGTGCAATCTAATACTTCACATGATCAAGATTCGTTTCACTATAAAAATGTAGATCTGAGCCTTGCATGGTAGTTCGATTCGGGCACACATATAGAGATATACACACACTGTATACTTAAAAATATGCATTATAATTTAAATATAATTTAGTTATAATACATAATCGAAGAATCGGGAAAAAATCAAATGATTATCGGCGTCCTGTTATCGCCACTTTACAAGGGCAAAAAAATAAGCTGACAACCCAATTGATAGAAATCCAAACATAATTATAATTTAATAGCACAAATATTTTCATGACGCTCGATTGTAGCATGCTTTACGGCAGTATAATAAATCTAACGTCCGATATACATATGTATATAAATAAATTCCTGGAATGTTCCTGCGTAAGAATTCGTTATGAGTATTTGTAAATTATTAGACTTGGTTGAATCACATAATTAATTACGAGTCATCATATTGATTATTTTCTTTATAAAATTAATCATCATATAAAACTTATTAAGTGACTATATAAAATAAATGTATATCTGAACAAATATATTATAACTATACAAATTACAACATCTCTTATTCTGTCCAAACATCTAAAACATAAATATATAATTAATCACAATATGCTCTGTCTCTCTCCTCTCTTGACTGAGATATGCATTCTGCCCTTTTATATTATGTATCTTCTAGTAAGACGCAAAAAATAAAATAAAACGTAAACTTAACAAAATGCAATGTATATCTATATAGGTTGCCAATTATATTGTCTCCCATGTGTGGAAGCCTAGGAAAAGTGCTTATATTTTAGCTCAAAGAAATAATTAAGCGAGAATTCTATTAAAAAGTTTGGAAGGTCCTATGTTGTCGTGTCGCCTTCCTCTTGTTCAAGTCTGGAAGAGCCGCAGACGCGACATTTACAGCATACGATGCAAGGTGCCGCTAATAACAGCAAGGGCGATGCGACAAGTAGAAGTATGCCAAAACCAGCGAAGATTCCGATAACTTGCGTTCGATGCCATATCACGGACGCACGTGAGTGGCCCAATTTATTCTTACATGGTCCCTTGTCGTAATGTCGCAACAGAAAGTCGTCCTGCGCATCAACAATTTAACAATCAATTTCCAGTCCAGTGGCAGCATTATCATGTATAAAGATATAACGTTAGCAATGTTAAAGCAATGTTAAAGATTTGGAACGTAGACCGCATACTTTCTTTACCGTCTCAAATACTCACATCTAAGGATGCTAAGCAGTACCAGCAAAACACGTGTTTACATCTTTTGCACATCATTTGAGCACAACCTTCGTCCTTTTCTATCGGCACGGAACACATAGGACAACACTTAATGTGATCGCTACCGAACGGTATTCCTAATGGAAGATCTGAACAGGCCCCGTTGTGCCAAGGCTCACGACATACTGAACAGAAATTTGTGGAGCAGTTGGGACAGTGAACAGGACCTAAAGGAGTGCCGCTCTCACTCTTGCCGTTTATCGAACATATTGTTTCACAACCCGCTCGTGGACACCACGCACGTCCTTTGTCCATTGACACATCTGCACACAAATTACATTGATTGTATCAAAATGTTTAGTGCGCGGGCTTGATCATCTCGCGCGTAAAACTACACTTTTGCATCTGACGATGCATAACTGAATATAGACAGAGAATCCTGCACTTACCTCTATTTAAACGAAACTTGCAGTGTTTCTCCACGAGTTCCGTGTTGACAAGACTTGATATCTCTTTCAAGGATAGTATGGCGCCATGATCACACTGAGCATCAGGACAACTAATTTCATACGCGCCTTCCTCAATCTCAAACTCTACGTAGGCACGCATACACTAAAAAAAAGAAAACAAATCATTAGAAGACAAAATCATAAATAATCATAATAATCTTTTTAATGTCTAACAACGCACACATTCTTTCGAAACTGACAACAGTTTAACAACTTACATCTTTACAATAGGAACAACCGCATCCCTCAATCTTAAATGTTTTGGAGAGAGAAGTGTCGACGAGACACAGCTTACAAAATATCCGTCCGATTGTCTGCTGCGAGCCCGCAGGAACAAAGTTGCCAGCGGCCAGGCTGTAGCGCGAGCTGGACGCCAGGGACAAGAGGCTGGAGCAACGGGAGCAGACTCTGCTGCGATTTATGGGTCTCCCCTCGAGAGCGGAGGTGCTCAGTCCCACGGCCGTCTCGCACTTCCTCAACGCGCCTGGGCCCAGGTTCATCCAGCTGCCGCCACGTGCCTCGAGGCTCGCGCTGCTCTCAGGACGCAGGAGAGGCGCGTCCGCCTCCCTGCCGCCCGGCGCCGTTCTCTCCGTCAAGGAGAGATTCACCACGCTGGCCTCCTTGCGTATCAGGGGCAGCCGGATGCCGCTGCTGATCTTGGACGCCTTGTCGATCTTCTTCTGGCTGGTGATCTTGGCGGGTGGATTGACGGCGGTGACCGAACTGGTGGCGGCACCCATGTCCATCAGTGGTGCCCGTCGTAAGACGAGCGAGTGTAGGCTAGGCATCCCCTGGACGTCGCTGCCGGTTACGGACGACGAGGAGGCCCGCGTACGCCGTTCCCCCCGCGGCGAGGTGCTGGTGCTGCTCCCTTCCGCGCCCGTCGTCGCCGTCGCTGTTCGCTCGCCGCTGGCAGTAAGGGAACGCATGAACCCGGATAATCATATGTACATGGCAAACACGCACGGTTCACCCCGGTGTAGCTGCGCGGACGTCGATGGACCCACGCGCCGCTCGTCATAATCCCCGTCGTCGTACCGAGCCTCCGTCACCTCCCGCACATGCTCCAACGTGCCCTGCGCGTTAAGCTGCTGAAACGGCACCGTCGTCGAACCGCCGCCTCATCGTCTCCGACGATGTCGTAACTCGACCTTTCTCGCACCTGCTGCACACCGTTTGTTTGACGTTACATTTAGTGTTTCGTGTCGCGGTATCTAGCCCGCGGGACGGGCATGTCCGATCGCTGATGGACACACGACGTACGGAACACCCACAACAGCTGATCGTCCTCGGGCGCTTCAAGACAGACGGAGAAAGAGAGAGAGTGTGTGTGTGTGTGTGTGTGTGTGTGAGCACGCGCGCTCGCGCGCGCGTGTGTGCGCAAGATAACCGTCGGCGTGAAGGAGCGCGAGCAAACCGGAGTATACGCGCCGCACTGGCGAACGTGCCGAGCGACGATGCGCGCTCGTACGCGAAACGCGGCGCCTCAACGATGAACACCGCGGTCGCTGCGCGCTCCCGCGCTTCCCTGCTCCTCGCCTACTGCTATAGTGATCGCCGCAGGATCGTCCGCTTCGTCGTCGTCGTTCTCGCCGCCGTCGCCGTCGTCGTCGTCGTCGTCGTCGTCGTCGTCGTCGCCGTCGTCGTTGCGCTTTCACTATGTGTCCACGAGACGCGTCCCACTCCGTCGTGTCACCTATGTCAGCGCGCCGCGGTCTTTGCCAACATTTTCACCTTCGCCGTCGCGTATACACAGTGTATACACTGCTGTGCGCGACACACGCACACGCGTGCGCGCACACAGAGTCAGAGAGAGAGAGAGAGAAAGAGAGAGAGAGAGAGAGAGACCCGTGCGCGCGCGCGTTCATAAATTATCCGACCCGCGATAGTATGTACTTCCGCTCCCGCTTCCTCATTCGTTTTTCCTTCTCGCTCTCGCCGAGGAACGCCACGGTCGCGACGCGGGCCACCCTCGCGATTAGCGGGACCGCGCTTCTGTTTTAACGTTGTCGCATTGACGTTACACACCCTCCGCGGGTGATTCATTTGTTGGCGCGCATCGCGCGCGCGAAAAGTCGCGCGGAAGAGCTATACCTAGCTGGCGACATGCCGCGGGCGGGAGAAGCAGGAGAGAAAGAGCGGTGCAGCGTGTGGTTCCCGCGAGGGAACTCGCAAAAGCGCAATTTCGTTACTATATAATAACGTGACGTTCCGTCGAATGGTTGAATTCGCGTCGCCGTCCGATTCCGCCTAATTCAGCTACACTTTCTGCACTTTACTCCTCCTTCTCTTTCTTTCTCTCTGCTCCCCGTCCCCCCGTATCTTCGGCTCACCGGGGCCCCGGGCTTTAAGCTCGCAATGTGCGCCTTCTGTTTGTCAGCTATAAACTCCTTATGACCTGATTCTTTTGTATTAAATTTTTATTTACAGTTTTAATTTGGGATTTACGCTGCCACTAATGTTTTTAATGAATTAGCGTGTCCTCAAGATTTTGTCAAGTTAAGTGCAACGAGAAGAAGCAGCTCACAGCTCACACGAACGGATCGATGACCGTTCTCAATCGATTGCGATATTGCTAGTTTTTTTTTGTGCGCGATAGGTATATACCCTGCATAAAACGTCTTATTCAAAAATATTGTTTCGCATTCACGAGATTTTGTCATGAAGTCTGCTTTGCAACAATTTCGGATTGGATCACGGGCAATACTTTTCAGTGCGATACTGGGAATAGAACGTGAAAATTTTGTATGCCTCTGAATCCAAAAACAATTAGCAGAAGAAGTGAATCCTTTTTAATGCGAAAATTCGCATTTGTTTAAAGGTTATCGATTGCGATTGAATGCGAGGAATATTTTAAGCTAAGTGAATTCTTGCAAACCAATACTTTTCAATCCCTTTCTTCGCATCAGAAAGCAGAATTTAAATTAATTCTTTTCAATCCGACATTTTATGCAGGATAGGAATGTTGCCAAGATTCGATACGTCGCTTCCCAGATAATTTCCAAAATCGGGACATAAGACGTCTTAAAAACATCATTAAGACGTCTTCAAGATGTCACATTATAAAACGTCTCAAAATCTTATACCTATCGATTTTTGATATTGTGTTACCTGGGGTTGCTTCGACAACACTGTCTATACGACAATCTTTTCTAATATAAATAATTAAAAATCGACTCAGTTAAATTTATTAATTAGCTCGACTGTGTTTCACGATTTAATGGAAGCTCTCGATCGTGATCAACTTTCCGTATATAGGTGCCAATAAAACATACTGCAGAAATTAATAAGATATATCTACCTTTTTATATTTATATATAATTTATTCGAATTGGAGGGAATTTCGTAATATAAGCGCAATAAAAAAGCGATCTGACGAGAGAAATTTGACGTACGCTATCTTATATGCCGCGCAAAATATAGAATTCTAGCGATGTCGCAACGATCCAACAAAATAGCCGCAATATTGCTGCAATATTGTTGAAATGGTCTGTGCTGTATGACAGATCGATAGGCAGACGTTGCATAATTTAGAGAGATACAGACTATTGATTAATCTCTCTTTCGAAACCGAAGGAGCATATACAATAAGAAAAAAAGGAAGGAAGAATGGAGAGGGAGAGAGAGAGAGAGAGAGAGAATCATTTATTTTCGCGAATTATATATCAAGTCTAGATTATATATCAAGTCATGTTTCGCTAGGAAGCTCCCTTTCTTCTTGTTGACAATAATACTAATCGTAATTAACTCATAGCATGACTATAATAGTGACATTCGTGAAATACATCCCAAGTAGCAAAATGACGTCATAATGACGGTAAATTTTGGTCACAAAATGACCAATCAGACGTCCTAAATAGGTCTCGTGAGACCCGAAAATGACGTCGATATGTCACATCCACATGACATTTTCTGACGTCTTATTGACGGCAAAAATAGGACCAATGTACATACGACATAATATACCGGTTTCTAGAAATGTTTTTTATGAAATTAAAATGTTAAAATGTCTACTTGATAAACATTTATTTAAAAACGTTTTTTTTCTTTATCTAAGAAAAAAACGCTTTTTTAACTGTTTCTTTATTACATATCGTCGTGTGCATATAGCCGTTCTCTCAAGGCGATCACCCCCATCCTAGTACAGTATGAGTAGAGGATAATTTATTAACTCATATAAATACAACTATTATTTTACTATATACATTGTAGTTCCTGCCTATTTTAGCTTAACCTACTTTGTCAATTAAGTAAAAGTTGATCTTATGCGATGGCCATCTCCAGTACCTTTTACTTTATTCTCATTACATTATACTATACCTATCATCCTTTATTAGAATATACTTTGTAGGAAAAACATGAAAAAACCTACTTGTCAGATGAACATTTAGTGCAATAAAAATTTTCAACACTTTTGATTCAAGTAAAAAGTGGACAGTGACGATCCTCTGACCCTGATGCTTCCTTATTAACTGTACTTGTCTATAACAGGTACATCTTTAAAGTGTTAAAAAATCTTAATGCTATCTCCTTGATAGCTATAACACTGCATGAAATAGTTATCATAAAACTATAATCACACGCAACTACGCATCCACTTATACCATAAATTCACCACTTCAATCATAAACTTGCGAAACAAACATATTATTTGTAGTTAATTTTGTGGTTTTTATTTTATTATTACTTTATTATACAATATTAAGAAATAAAAATAATTATGTTACAAAAAGACCTTATTTGGACGACTTTAAGACGTCTTTAAAATGACGTCTTTAGATGATCTAAGAAATGACGTCTTATAAACGTCCATTATTAGTCGCCGACGTCTTAGACCAATGACTAATGACTAAAAATAGACGTCATTATGTCGTCTTCTGACGTCACTTTGCTGCTTGAAATGCATACTGTCTCAATCAAGTTTTTCCTTCAAAACGCTCAATTAATCGATGCGAATTCTCAAATTGATCTCAGCACATTTATTATTTAATAAAACATAAGAAAAATAATGCCAGAATTGCTCTTAAATTAAAAATTAGAATTTAAATATATATACTTTAGACTCCGATCGAGAAGGTCAATTACAGAGGGTGTTTCTTACTTAAGAAACACCCTGTATATGAGATTAGGACACTTGTTATGGAACTTTTCGAAATGGATCAGAGTTCGAATGTGTTTTCTAGAGAAAACGAAATAATTCCAATCGAAACCCATTCCGAAAAATTCTATAATACGTGCCCATAGTATATCGAGAACAAAGAGTAAAAAGTCAGAACTGTAAGAAGTTGTAAAAAAGAATTTTAATTAATTGAAAAGTTTATTTGTTCATATAAATACAAAAGAGATAATTAATTTAACTACTTATTTTATCATTATGGTGAGTAAATAAAGTTCATTAATTTAAGTTTAATCAGTATCGCAAATATCGCTTATGCTCTATACAGAGTGTTTCTTAAATAAATACACAAACTTGAAGGGGATATTCCTTAGCTTATTTTAAGAAGAAAAAGTCTTATAAACATGTGTGCTAAACTGCTTCGTTTTCAAAATACAAGGTGTTAAACTTGAGAGAAAGAATATGAAAATTTCGAAAATCTGGAAAACACTTAGATATTTTATTCAAATTTGGCGTGAGTACATATGGTATTAAGAACCATATTCGATCCATATCATAAGTATCGATGAAACATTTTTAGATACACCAGGTGCGCATCTAAAAATTTTTGACTATTTTGAAAACGAAGCAGTTTAGGACATATGTTCATAGGATCTTTTCTTTCTAAAATAAGCTAAGGAATATCCCCTTCAAGTTTGTATACTTACTTAGGAAACACCCTATATCATAATGACATGTGATATACATATATATATGTATGTATGTATATATATACAAATTAATATTTACACACGAGCCATTCAGATAATGTATTTCTCGCTCATTAAAAGAGACTTTTTCCTACGATGTACATACACTAGCGTAAATACACATCCGAATTTAGCTGTATAAAAATTGAGCAAATTATATTATCTGGAGTAACAATTACGTTGCAGTTAATTGTTGGAAAATACCAGACTAATAGATGCTGTCGTCGGAAATATCAAGGGTAAGCTAAATAATAATTAAATTTAATTTAGTGCCTATTCATTCAGGAAGTAAAAACGGACTACGGAAGTTTTTCAAACTTGCGTCACTAATAATAGCTAAAATCCGAGGAATAGAAGTGGCATATGCCGCTTAACCCTTCATAATTGAGCACTGAACGAAAAACGACGATAGTGAATAAGATAATTTTCATACAAAGTGGGGAATGTGCTTTTTTGTTCATTAGCTGATGCTGCGTGTAATTTTCTTTTATTATAGATAAATTCAAAAACGTTAGGGAATGCACGAGTGTGATATTATTAAAATCTCATAAAAATAATAATATATAAGGATACATATATATGTATAAGATATTCCATTTTAATGGAAGCAGCTATGTATATATCTCCTAAACTTATTAGTAAAAAAATGTTTCAGACAAAAGTTATATATATGATTTGGAGGATCATAAACGCATAAACTATTGATTTTTATATAACTCTACTTCAATACTTTTCTATATAGAATAATTAGAAGAATGTCATATTATGTAAAAAAAATCATATTGTGTCCATAAGTAACTTATTACATATATTGCACGTATGTAATAAATTACTTATGGACACAATTCGTACTTATGTATTATTCCTTCGAATAAAGTTATTGTAAGAACACTAGATGTGCAAATACTTTTTTGATCCACTGTACTTCCCAGTGAACACAACGTCTCAAATCGGACATAAGACGTCTTAAAGACGTTATTAAGACGTCTTAATGGTGTCTTTAAGACGTTATATGTCTCGATGCGTGTTGTCTATTTAAAAAGATGATGATAACCTTCATGATGATTTTTTTTTTTTATTTTACCATTATTTGTCCCCTTCCAGACTATACGACTTTTGTCTGAAACATTTTTTGTACGTCAAGTTTAAGAGATATACAGCTGTTTCCATTAAAATGGGGCACCCTATATAACGTAATGCAGATTGTTAAACTTTTTGGTTTTAATAACCTTTCGCTTAACATTATTTTTAATAGAATATTTAATCATCCAATGATTTAAGATTATAAGCAATAACTAATGTACAAAACATTTCCCACTTTGTGCTACGATTGTTATGTCTGTCTATCGCTATCTTTCGTTTAGCGTTCAGTGACACTTAGCACAAACAGTCAAGCAGTACGTCGTTGTCTTAGAATCTTCAAATGGGCTCGAATAATATATTTCCTTCAAAACCAGTCTTCGAATACCATTACGTATATTTCAAGTGTGTGAAATTTTTTTACTAGAATTCTGTATCTTTATGCACTGCGACAGTTTTATAAGCAATAAACCAGAAGGCAAGAAACCAGAAGGCAAAAATTCAAATAACTTCATGAATTTATCATAAAAATGTCTTCAAGAAATTACAATTATGTTGTAACATCAATATTTTGCCCCGAAAGAATGAATTAAAATTCACCTGTTAAAAGAAATGAATAAAAAAGAAACAAGATACATATTACGAAATCAGAAATTATATACAATAAATTATATGTGCGATTGGAAGCATTTATGGGCATAATATCAACTGAAGTTATCGCATTTGAGTTCAATAATTCAAGAGGGACATTAGCTATAAAATCAATCGTCAAGTCAGATCCATTATAATGTACCGTGTTATTGTGAGACGTTATCTAAAAACTATTTTTATCACAAGTACGCGTTGAACGCAAGTGTAAAGAGTAACAAAACAGAAATAGAGAAAGAACGGAGATCTCGAAACTTGATGTTGCTCCTTTACAGGGAGATATTGCCAGGTGTACTGTACTGTCCTTTTCGAGAATGTGTATCAACCGCTCTGACCGCAAAGTAATAATTGTTACCCTCGGAAAACTGTAACAAGAATATTGCTCTCATTAGTATTGCGAATTCCAAACAACGCACGAGGCTCGTTCTATCCCTTTGACGAGTTTACAACATTGATGTTTTCAATTTACCTGAGTCAAGGTACACGCCATAGGCAGCGGAAGTGCGCGCACATCCCCCACTTTCTTCCACAGTGAAGTGCTAGGACTCACACCAGCGACTTCCTGATAAGCGTACAATTGATAACTGGCGATATCCGCATATTTATCCGTTAGATTCATGTTCCAGGATAACACTATGCCTATGCGACATTAAAGTTATATTGAGAATTTCGTAGCTTGAAAGTTGAATTTGAATTATTTGTATAAAATAGAGACATTCATATAGTTTACCATTCGAGACTTTTGAAATCTTCAACGATGGTGCGGGCGGTGGAAGCTTCCAGCCAGGTGTCGTTGCGTAAGTTGGAATGTCTGGCAGTGGCGCCGGATGCTGAAATAAAACAGTACTAAAATCATAATCGCGTTCGATAAACAAATGTCGTACGAGTTAGCATCAATTGCTATCGGATGTTCACCTTATTTATCTGTAGAACTGTAGGCGTGGTTAGTAGGCGCACAGTACCATTCGCGAGTGTTGATACTCCTGTTGATAAAATAATGAAGTAAATAACACAATGTTAAACACTGCGACGAGCATCATATTTTTTGTAACCATTTTTCACTGTAGTTCTTCTAAATCGTGGTATTGTAATAATGTACAAAAAAAAAAGATTGCGTATTAATACAATTTCTTTTCTTTCATATAATTTAATTACCCTTATAAGTAACAGTTGAAAACGGTGGCCTATTAGGTGTGCTCACAGGTCGTATCTAGAAAATATTTGAATTTCTTGTTTATATAAAACAACATTACAATAACTTTCTTATTCTCAGAAAGAAGTTTTCTGGCGAGAAATTGTTACTACTAACCTGTACTTGCTGATTAGAATTTGATGCTATCAATACTTGTCTTGGCGAACCTGTGCCACTACTTTGCATCACATACGCCTGCAGTCTAGGCGGATTCACATTATTCTAAAAAAATTAATATAATATATATAATCACACACCTCCTTTGTTCCTTTTTAAATACTACCCCGATAGGAAAATTACACAAATATTGTGCAATAATTGCATCATTTAATTGAGAGAAATTTCACAATTATTGCGCTAAGATGATTCCTCATAACGTAGCGTTCTTGCCCGTATAAAATTTCTAAATGATATTTGTACAAAAGTTAATAAATTCAATTTTAGGTTTAAATTTTGCACAATTATTTCAACATTTAAAAGCAAAAATTACTCCAGCAAATATCGATATACATACAACAATTACATTCATCATGTTTTACGAGAAAAGATGTCATCTATCGGCGACCCAGCAAATACAGAATATGCTACGTAATACAGGAGTAACACATAATAAAACTCAACTATATTTCTCAATTATCTTGAAATTATTTTCGCAATTTCTTCAGATTTAACTTTGCAATATTCCGCTAAGATCATTCCTTATAACGTTGCTGTCTTACTGAAACACTATTTAGAAATAAATTGTGCAAATATTTGTCAAAAAATCTAAATTTTTAATAGCATTGTTGTATATATTCAGCATTCATAATTGCGGCATTCCTAATTTTATCTAGATTTTGTCATATAATTTTATAAATTTTTTCCTCTCGGGGTATTACATAAATATTACACATGTACAATAGATGAGAAAAAAATGCTTACAACGAGAGCAGTTGATACTGGCTGTTGATTAGTCGTTATCACTTTTATACTAGTCGGCTGCGTCGTAATTGCGACGTTTGCCGGTAATGTCTGTATTACCCTTTGGAAAGATTGCGCAGGTTTCGATGTTATATTCAATTGCTGTTCAATTGTAGATGCTGTAGTCTTAACTTTCGCATTTGCTATTACAATATAGAACATGTTAGATAATGAGGAAAACGTGATAATTACAGATGTTTATTATCACGCGTCGTGATAAAGATAGATTATGGCCTTAAAGCATGTGCCATCTGTATACATGTAAATACGCATATACAAAAATAGATGAAAAATAGATTAACATACATTTATTCTTTTCTTCCTCGTCCGTAAGATCAATAAGATCGTTATTTCTTGGTTTCGGAGCTATCGGACGATTTCCTTGATTTTGTATTTTGCCATTTAGGACAATAGTCTGATGTGGCTGCGACTGAATTTGCTGTTGCGGCTGCAAAATTTGCATAAATTAAATTAATGCGATGTCATAAAATAAGTTTTCTGATTTATATCGGTTATAAATAGTATTAGATTAAGTCTTGTGTTACTTACAGCAGGTAAGATTGGCTGAATACCGCTAGGCTGGTTGGACAACGTTAGGGTGTGTGATGCTTCTAAAGGTTTAGCAACAACCAAAGCTGCGGGCGTCACAGTGGAAATAACAGACGCCGTTTGAGCCGGATGATTCTGCGTGATTATAGGAGTAGAGACGGTTACTACAGGTCGGGGCGATCTTATTTTAATTCCACCGCGTCTTGGACTTGTTACATTGTTATTTGCCTCAGTAGGTGGAGAAGTGGTGCTGATGTTCGTTGTGTTTGCTGCAGGCTTGAGATTCGCGGTTTGCCGTAGATTCTGCATTCCGTGTTCCTAATGAGTAGAGCATTTAATCGACCAACATAATTTTAAGTGAATACCGCGAAAATGAGTTCAAATATATCTCTGCGATAAATAAATACCGTTATAAAGCTGACTTGCAAGCCTACAGATCTATTTATTTTTATAGGCGCGACAGGTTTGTCAGGATTCGCACGACGGTCTATCGCATTACGATTCAGCACCATTTCGAAATCCTTCACTTGCTTCATCAACTGTTGCATCTTCACACGCGTTGTTTCTTGATATTTCTCTGATATGCGAGCTTGTTCTCTGAGCTGTCCAATTTCACTGCGCATCGCGATTGTTTCGGCAATCTTTTGAATCAGGAGCTCTTCCAATTCCTTAAGCATATTAAACAGTAATATATAATAAGCAATCGTTTTAGTTTTCGTAATTAATTGAGATTCATTTTCATACAACAAACATATAATTAAAAACAAGTAATTAAAAGATATCTTATTTCAATATAAATGCTTTTTGTTTACCTCCTGCGTAAGTTTTGGTAATTTCTCTTTGAGGTCCCGCCGGAAAAATTTTTCAATGAAGGACAATTGTGTGACATCTTTCTTTTCTTCCGAGCCCTTGGTACTCATTTTCGCTTTCTTAATATTACCATTAAAAACCTCGTTTTCCGGACAATTACGTTTTAATGAAGGTGGTGATGCAGGACGTATATCCGGATTCAGTTTGTGGTTCATCACTACGAATTCTTCCGTAGTATCGGTAGAATCACTGTCGCTATTAAGATACTTTTTCCTGATTATCTCTTCTGCGTTTTTAGCCGTCTTCCGCCTTTTTCGCCCGCTCTCCTCTGTAATAATAAAATGCAAAAATATCTTAATGTGTATATTAAAAAATATATAGTAAAAATTATAAATAAATCATAATAAAAGATTTTTACGTACAACAACAAAACACACAGACTGTACTGAGAAATTATTTATTTTAGAATGTACCCTAACGCATATCAAATCGAGACATATGCGTCTTAAAGACGTCTTAATCCCAATTTGAGACATTGTGTTCACTGGGTATATACTTTCTTATAAATGATACTGACAGAATTAAATAATTTTAAAACAATCATCTCTATCCTTTTTCTCTACTTATCACATATTTTATATTATTATTACTACATTATTATAGATACATATAAATATCAGGATACTTTATGCGATATATCGCCCTTGAAAATTTTTTGCAAAAGTTGCATGCAATCATCCATAAATCTACTTAGAAATCAGAAAATAATATATTGCACTTGACTACCCATCAGACAACACAATGTCCAAAATCGGGGATATATGACGTCTTAATGACGTCATATGTCCTCGATTTTAGACATTGTGTTGTCTGGGACGCATGTTTCAAATCGGGACACATGATGCCTTAAAAACGTCTTATGTCCCGATTTGAGACATGTTCACTGAGTATATAAAAGTATATAAAACTATTAATATTCTTGTATCTAATTTTTTTAAGTATTTTTTTTTTAAATCTTCTATTAGATATTGATAAAATACTGTATTTCGCTTTTAATGTTAAATATTTCCTACCTTGTTTATCTTCTTCAGTACGATCTTGTACCGTATTGATTGTTTTTTTAATTCGTTTATTTCTCGGAATGACCGTGTCAACATTTTTCGTTCCATTCTCGCTATTAGAATTATCCACATCGCTAGGTACTAATAAAATGTTTGTTAATAATAAATTATTATCTATAGTTTGGGTTACAAATTTATCAACATTACGGTCTTCGGTTACTTCTGTGTTGTCTTTAACATTGGATGAAATATTTTGATCTTGTATCAATGAAATATTCGTCACTTTTTCTGTGAATTTTGAAATATTTGATACACTTTTGCTTTCTGTTACATCCATCAGTTCTGAATGTTTGTTTTTATTTTGATGCGCAATAGTATCTATATATGATAATGAATCCTTAGAATTACCGGAGTTGACTAAATCCACGTAATCTGGACCATTATTAAGTTCGACATGTGAGCTTTTTAGAGAGTGACTGTTATTTTTAATATGTTTGTCTACTATTTTGTCTTCTAAATTATCATCATTATTATTAGAAACAATCACATTTGTAACCAATTTTTCACTCTTACATATCTTAATATTAGCAGAATCTACAGAAGGGATATTACTGTCTACACTGTCTAATTTATTTTGCTCACAATTTGTCGAAATTATTTGGTTACTATCGCTGGATGCCTCTTTTAGATTTTCTTCACTATGAGTTGTTAGTTCTGCATTTCGAACATTACTTGTGTGTGTATGATTATTTATAGACAATTTATCATTTTCTATTGCGGTATGTCCCTTCAATACTGCAATTGGACACGCGTTGCTTACATCGGTAATTTTTAAATCTTTGCTAGATTTGAATGTACACTTTTCATTAAATTCATTAGCAGTCGCACTGGTATTTTCCGACTTACGTATATTATCTTGTACTTGTTTGTTTTCGGATGTATATTCATCTAAGGGCGCTGCAACAGATCAAATGATTGATCCCTCCTTCGTTTCCAATGTTTTAAGGGTGAAGGGCAATATAAGAAGTGATTACACAAGTTCAGTTCAAAAATTTGCATCAATATTCTTGATGTGACGAAAACTTGATTTGGTAATTAGTAACAATTTTGTCATTCGCAAAGATCTTACCTGTATCATGTTCGTTCTGCGATGATTCTTCACTATCAGACTTGGAAACTTCTTTTACAGTCTCCTGCAGGTCGGAGTATAGTGTTTTTTCTGCGATTTTATTTAAAATTGGTTGTTCTGCAAACAAAACAAAAATGCTAATATTAATATAGATGCAAAAAAACGCACACATTCATGAATAAAAAGACTTCCATTTTATTTAATTTTATAAAATATAACTACTTTCTTTCTCTCTCTCTCTCTCTTTCTTTCTCTCTTCTGTGACATTTATGTTTGGGTATTTCTAGATTTAACATTTTATGTCTTCTTGCAAGTTATTTTATGGACAGTTCCATTCAACACAATGGAAAGAAACATATATATCAGGGTATCATTCAGAAATTATTCAATAACATATATCAAGCAATATATGTTAATTTACTTCTCATAGATAAAAAATAATAATTACATACCAGCTATTCTACTTTGCGATTTTAATTCCGCAGTATTTGTGTCTTTTGTTGTAGCGTTCTCTTGCTCAGCATCGTCATCGTCAGATAATCTCAAGCGCAAACTATCATCGGACAGTGCATCTTCATCGTCCCCGTCTTCTTCTGCACCGAATAATAATTCATCCTCTTTCTCTTTAGACAGTTCATCATTATCAGTTCTATCGTCACATGTGACTGGGGAACTAGATTCTGAATTATGCACTGTTCCAGCTTGCGTCTTTTCCATTATAAAATTGAGAACAGTAAAATGTCACTGTTCATTTATCTTGACAATTAAATACTTTTTTCAATCTATAATAGAAAACTACATGAAAGACATATGCACAACATAATAATACACTATTTAATATATAATCCTAATTTAATATATATCTGTACTATAATAAAAGTGTACTATATCACTGTAAATATACATATATATATGTATATATAGTCAGAGATATTTTAACAGATATTAACTCAGAGGTAATTTAGTAAATTAACGCAAAAAACTGATATTTCAGTGAAATATTTATAGATCTTTATTCCCACAAGATTTTTACAATCATAAAATATATATATATAGTGCGTTGTATTTGTCTTAAATATGGTAAACCATTTATATTAAATGTATTCAATTTTTGGGGACTGCTACAGAAAATATCACGAAAATTTAAAACACCCATAAAATAAAAAAATTACATAAGACAAGCACATTTCATTTCGTATCCCGATTGACAGCGCCAATATATATTTGACAGCATCATCAATTCCGTTCGCGAAAGTATCGTCAATAAAAAAAGTAGTCCAGTCGTAGAGCGGGCGTCATTGTGGTTTAGGTACTGTTTGTCTCGTGGATAACCTCTCTACAAGATCCGTTTCTACACCGAAATAATAGTAATAAATTAATACGTTTAAAAAAATGGAACGGAAAGAGAGGAGGAAAGAGAGCAAATAATTCTGATGCAGTTTTGAATAACAATATCTCTCGAGTTTCAAGAAATTACCATCTTCAGGACAAAACAGTTGAATACCGAGACACACCGTTCCACTGTCAACAAGGTTTGCACCCGCAAAATGAGGGTTTTTTGCTCTAAATTTAAAAAAACACTTCAAAAAAAAAAAAAAAAGAAAACTACTTGTCATAATTGGCTTATGTTCGAGAAATTCTTTCCTCCTCCCTTTCCTCCCTACCCTTTTTCGTACATATAGTACGTTTAATTCTCTTTTTTCGCCTTTTGTGGGCATCCGTCTCGTGGGATCAGAAGGAATCTATTTCTGTTTAATGTGTCGACATAATTGCCGCTCTTAATTTAACGATTAGTGCATAGAGGTTACTCGTTACTCGTCGAACGAAAAAGCACCAACATTTTGACGCCTACTGTACACTGTACCGCGCGCGCGCGCGCACGCCTCATTCTGGATCGATGCCCGTCGTGCGCGAGGTCACTATTTTGCTAAATATGACGATTGACGCAAAAATCCGATGCGTCCCGATGAAACGGGATGCTCGTCGCGCTCGTAAGATGAACGTGTGCACGAATCGTCGCGGAAATTGTTCGCTTGTGATCGAACGACGCGATCAGGCCCTGACTAAGGGGGCCGAGGGCCCTGACCTTATCCAGGTATAAAAGATGGCGGGCCGAAAACGAGTATCTCCCGCTTGCTCCAGCTGAAAGTTGTACAACGGCGTACTTTTCCAGTCGGAGGAGCCTTTATCCGTGATTCTCGATGTGATCTCGTTATAAGTCTGGCTTTTTTTTTCCTCAATGACGAGGGCTATCCGCGAGTCGTGTTGCACAACCTCGAACGGACGCGAGAAAGCGCGCTTATCTGTGTAAAATCACTTTAAGGTGCATCACCTCGAAAAGATTATGCCCCTTAAATAGGGCAATTTGCCTTGGTTTTGCATCGGCATAGGCGAAAATTGCGAGAACACAAGAGTTTCGGTAGCGGAGAGTGTGTTTCATCGGGGATGTTCGTTCAGCACAAACGAGATGTCATGGAACGACACGATGGCACTTCGGTCGAGAACGGAACGTCGCTTGCGGAACGTCGCGAATGTCGTTATCGCCGCTCTCCACATCGCTCTCCCGGTTCTCCCCCGATATCTTCAAACGCGAGTTAAAGAAACCGCGCGAACTGTCCACAGCGTCATCGATGGGTTTGCGCATCGAGCGTGGAGTACACTGCACTTAGGCCCCGAGTTTCCGTTCCCGAAGATCGCCGAGCGTGCACGAAGCGCCGAAAAATGCGAGCAGAAAGCAGAAACTGCGCTTGTAACGTCCCGATTCGCTGCGCAATAAGGGAATCTTATTTTTAACCGGCACATACGGGCCGACATACCGGCAATTAATTTTTGAAAAAATTTTGCTGCTCCATTTATGTCCGTCTGGAGGGGCTAGAAAGACGCGTAGCAATTCCAAAAAAATTTTCTTTCTAATGACGTGGCATCAAATCCAAAAACATGATTTGTTTCTGACCGTTTCGTATTCCACTCGAATTTTTCCTTTCATACGTTCACTTTCGTAGATTCATGTTTTTATTCGAATGTAACACACGCATATACAATAAGTAGGTCTTATCGATCTTATCAGCTTGTTACACATCAGCTGGCATATTTGCATAGTTTTTGTTATACTATTCCATCAAGATCCTTATATTGGGCCCAAATTTATAATCGATTTCTCAATGACGTCCTGTGCGTTCATGTGAGATCATTTAATAATTTACACACATGGAATGTTCGTCACGGATTCGTTTTATTGAGCGGTTGATGAATAGAGCCCTTCCCTTTTACTCGCCGCACCAATAGCACAGTTCATGGTGGGGGAAACGGTACAGCTCCTCGTCGTATTGTAGGACGATCGATTTTCGTCACTTTGCCTCGATCTTAAGTTCGATACTTGACTGTAATATAGATTTCTGCACTTTTGATCTTGAAAAATTAATTCTCCCTCATTGCTTAATTATGTTTACGATTGTACATATATCATCCAGTAGACGTCAGTGCTGACACACTATCGAAATTTCTTTTTCTTTAATAACACAATTCTAATTCAAGTTATATGTGTCAACATATTCATAGGTTTCTCATTAGCCAGACATAACCTTGGCGATATCTGGAACAAATTGACATCTTTCCCCCTCCTCTTTTTCCATATTCCAGGTCGGATATTATGCAATCTATATTTCCGACAAGCGAGAGAGGAAGCAGGAATTATATTTTTAGTACAATTGTCTATTTGTAATTTACAATAGAGCAAAAGAAAGAAAAAATTTGCAGAAGAACACAACTAATTCGTCTTATTTTAGAAAGTTTCAAGTGAACATAATGTTCTTTTTCGCTGCACTTCTGAACTAGTGCAAACTTAGAATGAAAGAAAATATATTTGTTTTATTCTAACTTATTACACTAGTTCAGACGTGCAGCGAAAACAAACAGACCTAATAATGTCTCAAATCGAGAGATATAACGTCTTAAAGACGTCATTAAGACGTCATATCTTTCTTATGCTACTCTATTAAGGTCGATCTACATTAATCGTAATGTTCATCGTAAACTCCTTACGACGATCGCAGCTATCGTAAGCTCATCGTATGAATTGATTCAACTTGAACTCTTGATTACGACGCTTGTTTGGCGTTACAACAATAACCTACAAACCTAACCTATCAACCTTCTCGACGCGCGAATAAAAGTGTGTTTATAGATATATTCGCATAGATATACTGTTTACAACAGCTTTCCTTTGCTTACGACCTCGATCGCTATTATGATTAAAGCATTACAATAGATGTAGATCGGGCTTTAAAGACATCGTCATTATATAATTAAGACGTCTCTAAGACGTCATATCTCCCGATTTGAAACATGCGTATTATCTGGGTTCTTTTTTCCATATATCCTTGAAGCATTTTATTTCAGAAAATTCTTTGACACATCTTATTTTAAAAAGTAATTTTTTTGATACATCCTTAAAGTTTCTACTTCTGAATACCTCTTTCTACCTGATACGCTTCTCTCTCCGCACTTCGAATGTCCAGTTTAACGCTATCAGACACTGACTTAACCCTTAAAGTGCATACGTTTTTTCGGTACCTTATTCTAAGTGGATATGTGAGTCTGCCACGTTCAACGCTATTTTTCCCTAACTTAAAATATTTTAAAAAATCTAAAAAAAATTCATGAAACGTCTGTCTACATTGTAGTTGACGATTTTATAGTTAATTTGATAAACATCGTTTATTTAATATCTTTTAACAGGCTTATAAGTTTTACAGTTACGAGCAGATATCACTTTGGCTCGAACGCCGTAGACCCACGTATGCACGTTAAGAGTTAAAATTCTTTTCTCAGTGAGTAAAATTTTTCTGCAATTGTAGTTTCGAAAAATATAATGTCCAAAAATTTGCTATTACTGTAATGGAAACATTCATGCTAAAAAATACAATTTTTTTTCATTTCAAACAGTTTTCAAATTATGGGTTTGACATTTTCCCAAGGTTACGATCAGGCGTAGTGTGAATAATGTTTTTTGTCTATCTCCAGCATCCAATAATCGCGCGAGATGGACAATCACATAACGCACAGGCACACGCGATTCACAGCATACTCAACATAACCTCAACTCATGATTGGCTAAATGCTGAATTCCTCGCAATTTCAAAATCAGTATAGATAATAGGAAAAGCTCTCTTTCCGTATAATTTCGTATGAACATTTTACTATAACGTTTTGTGAATTTATGGACACAATGCAAAAAACCTAAAAAATATTGTACATTGGATTTTGAAGTACAATAAAAATATTGCTGGCTGTTACATTAACGACAATGATAAACTTATTGCTTTATTATAATATATTAAAATATATAAATAACCGCACATGCAAAAAATTTATAATTTATTCTAACAATTCTATAAAAGTAATAAAAAAAGTTATGTACAAGCCTGTATATAACTGTTACTGTATGTACTTTTGTCACCCAGGTGACCCATTTTAAATGCCTACCTCAAATATCTCTTGAACAATACATTTAAAAAAAAATGTTTCAGATAAAAGTTGGAGGGTTCAACACGGGCCTTGAACCCAAAATCTAAAAAGATTGTCCATTGGCCCTCTTTGAACCCTTCAACTTTTATCTAAAACATTTTTTTTTTTTAATGTATTGTTCAAGAAATATTTGAGATGGACATTTAAAATGGATCACCCTGTATATATATTTATTTATTTATAAAGTTTAGGAAAGTATATAATAACTCACGTTTGAGGAATCTAAACTATATAGAAAATTAATGGGTATAATAAAAAATTGAAATTATTCAATTTACTAAGAATTAAAGAAATGTTAAAATGCCATAATATAAAAAATGTTAAAAATAGATATTCATAATGATAGAATCAATAATTAATTGTATTTTTAAAATATGTTTATGTGCGCAGTATTCTCTAGAAGTTTCGATGAAAGGTCGTTACTGAACAAGTAGTGCCATCTGTCGTTGCTTTTATCTTGATGACAAAATGATGCTATATGTCATTACGTAACAATGTTGCAAAACGTGAAATTATCTTTCAATTTCTTATATTGTAATTGCAAAATCTTCTTTCAGAGATAAAATCCCACAATATTTGATTATAACCAAATACATTTTCTAATTTAACACGAGAAGGTTAGATAATATAGATATACCAGAACATTTTTCTTGTTACTGATATCTATAAAAAACCTTGTAGAACATCATAAATTCATTCTAAACAGTCTCAAAGATACAAAGCATCTCCTACTTGAATATACATAACAATGAATATAAATATGAGATAATGCGAAATATTGCGCGTTCGTAACCTACAAGATATTACGATTACAATAACAAATAAAATTATATGTATATATATCAGAAAATTTCTACAAAAAATAGATCAAACTAAATGAAAAAAATATTTTGAAGCTTTAACATTACCATGTGATTTAAATCGATTCTTGTGATATTCTGGTTTCGGTATTGTGTTATTGATGGACGCGCGCGCTACAAATATAATTCGTAAACAATAGGTCAATGAAGACGATTGAAACATAACAATATATCATTTATATCTACCTAATAACTTAGATTTCAGAAAATTGAACATTTGTCGAATTTCGTGAAAATATTATGTATCTGTATATCATTGATTTATAATATATTACAGTACGATGTAACAAATAAATCGTACTTCTCGCGCAATAAAAAGTTTGGTTAGCCTCAAAATTGATGAAATCATCTAGTGTGTATCCTAAAAGAAACAACAACAAAATGGCGTACACAAAGCTACATAAAATGGTGTCTTTGCTACGTCAAAGCGTCTCTATATCACAAACATAAACGACTCCGTGTAGATTTGGGCCTTGAGGCCCAATTCTGGCAATTTGCCTCATTCGATCCATGGTTAATTACTGGTATTTATTTCGAGAAAATTTATAGATAAAAATACAAGTAAAAAAAATTATTTCGTTTTACGCTTTAAAATACGCACAATCTCTCAAACATCTTAAAAATCTAAAACGGGACTGAGACGTACACGAGTTCAAAATTTGAATAGAGAAAATTGCGATAAAATGACAATCCGCGCAACGTTTCGAGTCCCAATAACAATTTTGTTCGTCACAAATCCAACGGATTTAACACTAAGCCTATATCAAGATATCATATTAAAATAATAATCGATAAACTTACGTTATATTATTGTGTGGGAAGGTTTCAAGCAGTATTGTTAACTTTTCACCACGTGGAAATAGGTTATATTTAAGGCAAATATGCCAGAAACACTGAACTGCACTTCTCTACTCAGGCATGCCAGATTGTCGAGCAGCTGCAACACCGCAAAAAGCTAAACAAGCGACTCTGGCAACGTTGCCGGGTCTCCCTCTACCGTTACCTCCGGCGCCTCCGGCTAACGTTGTGTTACAATGTTACATTAATACGGGAAATACAACAAAGTTGCGGTTGATTAAGGACGTACGACGCGTCCAAGTAAGGCAGATTGATCGAAAAATAAAATATTAAGATACGAAGGTATTGTAATGCGAATAAACGCATATCCAAAAAGTTATCGACCTACACGTCGTCGTGTGTTGACACACAACCTTATCTGCGCATGCGCAGCGTTACCTAAATCTTCTCCGAACAACAATTTTAGCCTAACTACAGGGACTGCCTCTTTTCTTTTTTTTTTGTCGAGGAGCTTTGCGCGAATATCCCTTTTCGTTGCTACAATTACACACGCACGAAATATGAGCGACCGTTATCGCGAATATCCGGTAAGTAATATGCAAATGCATCAAATTCTATCACGATGACGCTGTTGTTGGCACTAAGTGTATATTATACGATATTGTACGTACAATATTTACAAAACGACAATTGGTATCAATGTAGAGATGCTTAAGATCACGTTGTTACCATGTTATCAAACAACGGTGTCATATTTCAATTCTTTATCACTTACGTAAATCACCTTGAAAGTCCTTGTCCGAAACCATCTTGTTTGTGTTTATTCGTATTATAATATTTGTTGCTACTTTGTGTTATAACTTTTGTCCTTCTATCTACTATACATGTAAAATATTCTATTTAATTTTTGATGAGATTATAAAATTGTGTATAATTATATTATTTTATACAGTTTCTAATTTATAGTTGTTACAATATTTTTACTGAACAATTATAACTAAAACAATAAATAAAGTGACATACAAAATTTAATAACAATTAACATTTATTTCTTTATTATATATTATTATGATGAATTATTTTGGAATTGATAAAAAATTGATGAAAAAGGAATTAATTATTTATTATTATTATTTAAATATTATTATAAATAATTATTATAAATTCTAAATTATTTATTATTATTTATTACTATTTATTATTATTATTAATTATGTGTATATAAAATCAGTCAAATAAAAAAAAATTATGTTGTAAGTATCGCCACTTGCAATCGCAATAGTTTGAAACATTTGTTTATTCCGTGAGTTATTCAATATTAATCAAGGATATAAATTTATATATAATGGAGATGACAAGACAATTATATTTATTTACATATATGGTACAAATGAACCAATTGCTGTCTTGTATATTTCTTTACAAAAAAGAAAGAAAAGAAACACGTAATAAAGAATTCTACCTCTCTTTCTAAATCCTTGATTAATATTGAATAACTCACGGAATAAACAAATGTGTCAAACTATTGCAATTGCAAGTGGCGATACTTACAACATAATTTTTTTTTGACGTATGCAATGTTTTTGAAATTTTACCATTTAGTTAAAAAAAATATATTTTTTAAATAATTTTTTAAATGTTTATAATTTTTTTAAATAGTGCAATTTTTTATTTTTCTATTTACAGAGTTATTTATATCATGATTGTATTACTTGCTTATAAAATACCTATTTTTTATCTTCCTTGGATAGTTAAATAATATGCAAAATCGAAATTAAAAATTTTCTGTAAAAATAGATGTTATGAAAATTCTATATACGTCGTTGACATTATTATCGTTTCACACATGAATTATATGTTTAAATAAAGTTGTTTTTTATATATATATTTACTTAGATTATGATTTGTGTTTAAATAATCTTTTATATCACACGTGCGTGGAAAGTGTCCCATTACGCGCGCGCTATCTATGCGACAAATAGCCAATTCCATACACGAGTCAAAACAGTGCGGTAATGTAACATTACCGCACTGTTTCGACTCGTGTGTGGAATTGGCCATCCGTCGCACAGATGACGCGCGCGCAATAATGGGCCAATTTCCACGCACTTTGTAATATAAAACAGGGTGTGTAACACGTGCGGGTTGAGAATTGGACACGCGTGCGGGCGATCGCACTCGCCAATAACTATTTCTATGCATCTTTTTCTTTTGATATTGAATCTGTTAATTTATTTTTAATGAATCCAGTTTTACGTGTCATACATCTAAGAAATTATAACAAATATATATTCTCTAATGATTCCGATCAATATATAATATATAATAATTATTTTATACCTATATATGTATAAGTTAGTCACTATTGCAGCAGATCTAGGATTTTAAGCTATACGGTCAAACGGAATGACATTTTGGAGACATAATTTTGGCATGTAAGTGAAGTGACCATTCCATATTACAAACCTCACCTTCTCCATTTTCCTTATGACTTCATAATAATATAAAACATTTCGGTCAATGGTGACGATCATGGCGCAGAAAGAAGTGCGCTGCTCTAATCAGCCGAAGATCCGAGTTCAAATTCGACCAAAAATCATTGGTTCTTATTTGATCGCTACCTCTCAGAAGAATTAATGGCACCCGCCGAGAGTTTATCTTTTGTCACGAGCACCCCTCTATGAGAACTGATCCTCCAGGTTGGGGATTGGGCACTAGATAGGCTAACAACCTGCAAAAAATGAAGAATTAAATCTTCATGGATAAATAACCCCTGAAAGCAACATATTTAAGAAATACCTTACAGTCCAAAAGTTAGACATTATTTTAATTTTTAATAAAATCTTTAAGGAGTAATTTCTTTAATTAATTAAATGGAATGCTCTTATTAATATTTATTTTTACAAATAAAATTATTATAATAAATAATTTGTAAAATAATGTGTGCGTGTGTGTGTGTGTGTGTGTGCACGCGCGCGCGCGTACATTTTGTTTGTATAAAGTTTATTTGTATGACAATAATTGAAAATCAAAAGAGATCTGATCGATGAATTTAATTAAGTTATTAGATGAAAAATATATTCCCGTAATAAAAATCACAGATAATGAGCTATCACAAACTTTTTGTATTGACTATATGCTAGTATTTTAAGGCAATATTGATCTGCACATGCGCACTGATATAACTAATAAACCGTGAATTTTAAACTTACTTTCTCTCTACTCTCTATTAAATACACCTTTTACACGTATGTTTCTCAATCGAAATCTAAAATTTAAGTATAAGTTAATCAATATTAGTTCCGTCTACGCTTAAACTTTGTTTAAATCCACGCGGACTTCGAAAAAATTTTCCAGCAAGTCAAGCTAATTTCAGTCTCATCGAATAATAGGTGTTTTCCAGTTGACACAAATCGACACAAGCGTCAGGCTGGAGTCCCATGGCATGTATTTTCCGCGTAACGCGTAACCGCGTAACCAATCAGAAGCGCGAATATGCATAACCGAAAATGCGAAACGTTTCTAATTGGTTACGCGGTTATGCGTTACGCGGAAAATACATGCCATGGGACTCCAGCCTCACTCTATCCTTGTTGTTCACTAGATGTTGAAAAAAGACAGAATGATCCTTGGATCGACTTGTGTCGCTAAATGATAAGCACTCAATGCCTGTGTTCAGCAGAAAAAACAGGTCAATGAGCGCTTAATGATTCTTTTTCAATGACCTTTTATTACGATAATTGGTTTTTACACTTGGATCCAGGGAAGAATTAAAGGCAAGATCCAACCATTTTAAAAAGTTATTACTGATCGCGTTGAGTTGCTTTTTCTGCTGAACGCAATCAATGAACAACGCGCGGAGCATTCCGAAAGCAGAGAATGAAACAGGATTAGGCTCAGCGATGTGCACTGAGCCTAAAGGCCGTGGCACCTAGAAAAACTTAAGCAGTAAAACTTAAGCAGTAAAGGCGGAATTACGATAAACTTAACGTAACGGAACGCGACGAGACGCGAAGTAACGTGAAACCTAAACACATTGTTTTTATATGCGGCTGATTACGATCGACTTTACGTAACGTGACGTAAAGTACCAAAAAACAATGTGTTTAGGTTTCACGTTACTTCGCGTCCCGTCGCGTTCCGTTACGTTAAGTTCATCGTAATTCCGCCTTAAGGAAATCAACGGTATGGATTCGTTACTGCTTAGGACCGTGCCTTAAGTTCTTGACTGTGATTGGCTGATTTGCTTACTGCTTAAAG